GCAAGGATGGGTGTGCACGAGGCCCCTAGGCTGGTGCACATGCAGGTTCACACACATATAGGTCTGCCGTGCACTTATGTGTGCCTTGGGCACACCCAAAGCTTGCACATTGCACTAAGAGCACTGCACTCCCATGGGGGCATCAGGCATATGCACAAGTGCCTGCAAACAAGATCACAGGCCCTTCCCTCTGAGCACACGCTGGGGTGGAGGAAATGCTGTTTCAATCAGTTATCTACGCCAGCATGCTCTCATCCCTTAGTTCCCTTCAGCTCAAAGCTGCTGGGAATTTAGGCTTCTTTCCTGGCACCAGACTAGACTCAGGGCCCCTGCAGGGGTCTTAGGACATTTTTAAGGGTGGGAGTGGTATGGGTTGAACAACCTCCAAGGAAGAGGAAATTGGTAAATAGAGTTGGGACACGTGGGTTCATGGCCCTGCCATGCTGCTGAGGGATATCTGGATGACCGTGGGTCCACTCTCTGGCCTGCTTTGATTTCTCAATCTCTCTTGTTCATCTGCCCCCGGGGCCCTTGCCCTTTTATCACTCAGTGCATCACTATCACTGACCTGGGGCCCCATCCTTGGCTTCCAGGACTTCCCAATTTTAATGCTTAGAAAGGACTATGCCACTCCCCGGCTCAGAGTCCTTCCTTTGCTTCCAACGCCTCCAGAATAAAGCCAAAGCTCCACGGCCTGGCCTTGTGAGATCTGCTCACCTTTCCTTATCTCTCACTCTTTTCCACTTTGCTGGCCTCTTCCCTCTACTCAGACAGGGATCCTCTCTTGGAAACAGTAATGAAGGCTAAATGAGCTTCCTTTCCTCACTCCTCTTTGTTTTTAATTTCGAGTCCGACAGATTTGTGTTCAAATCTCATCTTTGCCATTTCCCAGCTCCTTGTGACTCAGAAAGGTTTTGGAACCTTTCTGAGTTTAAGGGGCTTCCTTTGACAGTTGGAGATAATAGCTGATACTTCTTTTTGCCAGGGATGGATTTATTTTTATTTTCAATTGTATTTGTCTTTGAAAAATTCAAAAATTAAAGAATACAAAGTATACAAAAGATTACATGTACAGTAAAAATTTCCTTCCAAGCCACCTTCATATTTTTCTTGTCAAATTTACCCAAATTAGTATCTCTTTTTACACATCTTGTAGACTCTTCCATACATATAATGTATTGGGGACCTGCTGTATGTGCTTTCCATGGATTATTTCCATGGATTATTTCAATTAAATCCTCATAGCCACCCGTGGGGCAGACGAGGAAACTGAGGCTCAGATACCGGAAGCTGCTTGCCTGAACCCACACTGTGGGTAAGCAGCAGACCCAAGGCAATGTGAGTGTGTCCATTTATGAATTGCTTTCTATGTGCCAGTCCCCTAGGATTTTCCTAGACCTGGGACATTCAACAAGTCATTCAACAAATACTGAGTGCCACTCTTTAGGTCACTGGGCCAGATGCTAGGTTACAACGGTGGGGAGGAAAGCAAAGGCTCAGCCCTCCCAGAGTTTTATCTCAGTGGAGATGGCCCATCGCTGTTGCCCCATTTTCTGGGTAAGAAAACCAAGGAACAGAAGGGAAAGAAACTGACCTGAGGTCACACAGTGATAAGAAAAGAGCTGGGATAAGCAGACGCATTTTACTGGTGGGGAAACTGGGGGAGAGAAAACAGAAGTGACTTGCCCAAGGAAACCCTGATAGGTAGGCGGCTGAGCCGGCATTCCACGGCTTACAGGGTCTTGGCCGCGCCTGCGCCTGACCCCTCCCCTCAGGGGCCGGGGCCACTTCGGCCCCGCCTCGCCACTCGCGTCCGCCTTCCTGGCAGCCCTGGTGGCTGTTTCCTGCCTGCGTAGCTGGGCGGGCGGCCGGCCCATCTGGCGGCCCCCGACGGGCGGCGCGGGGAGGCGGCCCAGACTCGCTGGAGCCAAGCGCCGGCCCGGGCGCCGCTGCCCGCCTGGAGAGACCAGGTGTGGCCGCGGCGGGGGTGGGGGTGGTGCCTTCCTTCCCGCTCGGCCCTTCCTGACGCACCCGGGCAGGATGCTGCCTCCTCCCCAACCTCCGCCTCCCACGACCCGGCCTGGAACGTGGAGGGAATCCTAGCGGTGGGAGAGCCGGGTGGGCAGGGAGCAGCAGGCCCCGCCTCTGGTCTCCACTCCTTATGAGACCCCGGGCAAGTCTTGCCCTTTTTTTGGCGTGGGGCCGGTGGCACCTCTCCTGCCTGAGGTCTTGACGTTATCATTGACTTGACATTATCCATTTGTTCAGCCGTTTCAAGTCTGTTTCCCTGATCACAAGGTCAGCTGGGGAACCCGCGCTTGCCCTGTGTTCCCTGCTGTGTCTAGCGGCTTGACCGATGCCCAGCTCATAGATGGTGCTGAAGCCCCAAAAGGGCATCTCAGGGCTTTACTCCCAGATTTGGAGCCACCCAGGAGGGTCTTACCCATTTCACAGCTGAGGAAACAGGACAGAGTGGGTAGGCCTGCCTGTCACATTGTGGTAGGCAGCCTTGCTGTCAGACGCTGACCCTCTCCTCCAACACCACCACGAGACCGGAAGCCAGAATTTAGCATCCTGACTTGCATCGACACCACCTGTGGTGAATATCATGATTCTGGAAGCCAGGCACCCTGGGTTCAAATCCTCCCCTTGGGCACTTAAATGTCTCTCTGCTTCAATTTCCTTTACCTGTAAAAATGATAGTACCTACCTCACAGGGCTGTTATATCGATTACATAAATATTTCTAAAATACATAGCATAATGCTAGACACGTGAAAGACAAATGAAATAACGTACTGGAGCTCTCAGCAGGGCTGGCCTTCTCCCTTCCCCTACATTAGACCCCTCCCACCTACCACAGTCAAGGGAGACTGAGGCCACAGAGAGGGACACCTAACAAATCAGGGGCAGAATATGGGGGCTTTGGAGCAGTTTCCTAAGAATCCACTCCCACTCCAGGGTGAGGCTGGCACTAGGCCCACCCAGGGCCCTGCCCACCCCCACCTCTCCGGCGTGCAGACCCAATCCGTGCCCGGCCTGGTGCCATTTTTCCATGGGACTCTGGCTGTGGCGGTTCACATCTGGAGTCTAGACTCGGAGGCTCTGCGGGCCGGGCCTACCGCCCGGGCTGGGCCACCGCTGCCCGCTGTTTGCTCAGCTGAAGCTGGTTAATTGGAATTAGAGTGGCCTCTGCGGTGCCGGCTGGCCGGCGGGCCCTGGCCGGCCACTGCCGAGGTCTGTGGAACATCTGGCCGGGCCAGGACGGTCATTAGGTGGCAGGCGCCCGGCGCCACTGCCACCTCAGCCTCCGCCGGGGGCCGGCGGTGACTCAATGAGGCCTTTGTGGGCTCCGGGCTGCAGAACCAACCGTGCTGTGTGCCTGGGCTGCCTGCCCCATCTTCCGCCCTCAGAGTGGCCTTGTTCCAGGACCACACGGCCTCCCCTCTGGAGGCGGCTGGAGTCGGCAGAGATACGAGAAGTCCCTGAAAGGGACCCCCTGGACTGGGAGAGGCTTTTGAGATTTCCTACCCCTCCTTTCCAGAAGGCCCAGAGAGGCTGGTAGGGATCAGGCCCAGGGGTCTGCAGAGGAGTTGCAAAGTCCTTAGGAACTCGAATTTGATTCAGATGGCTCAAGGTCAAATCCATATCTATTAGGTAATCTGCCTCAACTCTCTCACTTGTGCAATGGGGCTTACACTAGCACCCACAGCCTGAGAGTGAGAATTAAGTGAAATCCTGTATTGAGGTGCTCGGTACATGTAACAGCTCCCCTTCTCTGCTCCTACCTGTGCTTTAGCTCCGAACTGTCTGGCAGCCCCTGTCATTTTCAGCCTTTAAACCTGAAGCTCAGGCAAGAGAGATCTCTGGGTGGGGTGTTGAAGGTCTGAGTCTCGGGCCAGTGGCCACCCTCCCCCACATCAGTTTCTCCACCCAGTGACCCCACCCTCAGCAGGCAGATGAGGGCTGTGCCCACCCCCGGCTTGGTCCACTGGGGGCTCTCCTACAGGCCAGGGCCGCTGTCTTCAGCAAACCTTGGAGAAACCCTAGCTATGGGATCTCCAGCTATCGGGCCTGGATGGCCTCTCGGAAGCACTGGGCCCAGTCCCTCCACCCCCACCCCACAGCCTCTCCAGGGGCCCTGGGGGCGGCTCCTAGAATCAGAATCTTTCTAGCCTTATAGTAGCCATTTTGGGAAGAATCTCAGGAATGGGCAGAATGGGAGCGGTGGGGCCTTCATCTCTAGGGCAACCTAGCGTCCAAGTGCTCTCCAGCCGAAGCCATGGGGACACCAGGCTCACAGAGGATGACTTCTGCCATCCTGGGAATAAAACCCGAACTCCTTCCTGGGGCTCACACGGCCCTGCCCATTTCCCGCTCTCCAGCCGAAGCCATGGGGACACCAGGCTCACAGAGGATGACTTCTGCCGTCCTGGGAATAAAACCCGGACTCCTTCCTGGGGCTCTCACGGCCCTGCCCATTCCCCGCTCTCCAGCCGAAGCCATGGGGACACCAGGCTCACAGAGGATGACTTCTGCCGTCCTGGGAATAAAACCCGGGCTCCTTCCTGGGGCTCTCACAGCCCTGCCCATTCCCCTGGCTTTGCAGATAATGATCCCCTTGCTGAGTCAGGTCAGCCTTTTGGTACCACGGCCTCCTCCCTGCAAACCTTTCCGCCAGTAGGTAATGCATCCAGCACCCGTCCAACACCCTCAGTGACCCCAAGTATTGGGAGCAGCGTGGCAGGAAAACTGGATGGCAGGGGAGAGGGCTCGAGGGCCCCCTCTTCTGGCCAGAGGGTATCCTGGGAGTGCTGAGCTGGCATACTGGCCAGGCGCTGGGTGGAAATACAGGAAGGAGGGGCCCAGAGGTCAGGGCCTCAACACAGGTTGCGACGGTCCACAGTCCCCTTCCTTACAGAAAAGTCCCTGGGTGGGAAGGTGAGACCTAGTAAACCCATTGTAAGATACTGGGTAAGAACCTTCCAGAAGCACAGTGGATTGCCCGGGCAATGGGATGAGTTTTTAATGTGAGGCAAAGTCAGTCCACAATACAAAAGTCTAAAAGTCAGACCCACTTTTCCCACCTGGCACCTGGGGGGGTGGGGGCAGTTGGGGGCTTCCTTTGCGGGCAGGGATGGGGAGAGGCAGAGCAAGGCCAGAGATGGGGGAGAGGGAACCAGGCCCCGGAGGCCCTGTTGGAGGGAGCCTGCTGCCCCTGCCCCTCTCCTGGAGCTGCCGTTCCCCTTCAGCAGGACTGCGGCCGTGCGGGCCCGTGTGTCTGGCCCTCAGAGGGTCAGGCACCAGCCGCATCATTTCTCCTTCTTCTCCAGCCCCTTCGATGTCGAGGCCTCTGTTCCCTCTTTGGATTCTGTCACTGCTGCTGGATCCTTTGGATTTGACTCCTCATAACTGACCAAAAGAACAAAACAACAACGATGACACATTTAGAGGAGGGAAGATCAGAATCTTTGTGCCCCACCTCCCACCATCGCGGGGAAACCCCTGGGCGCGCACATCCTCGGCCCAGCACCTTCCAGGACTTGGCCCGGCCCCGCTGTGCGCCCTCCTCAGACAGGCTGCCTGCTCCGCTTTCTCTGTGCCTGGTGGTGCCAAGAGGTGGCAAGGGCAGCGGCAAACGGGAGAGGTTGGACTTGGGCTTGTGAAGGCCAATTTTAAGCTTCTTGAACCTTCCACTGGAGAGAATGGGGGAAAAAAGGGGCAGCCAGGATGAGGCTACGGGAGACGCGCTGCCTCCCAGGGCACACGGCAGGAGTCAAACAGCTCAGCCCCAGGGGTGCGGGCAGGCAGGGGGCTGCTCTACTGGCAAGGGGCAGGGTGCCACTCTCCCAGGCGGACACCCTGCTTAACTCTTACTATGGGCTCCACTTATTGAGCAAGTGAGCTCATGCCAAGGACAATACTCACATTTCCTTACCAGATCAACCACACAAGGCAGGCACGCGCCCACTTACAGATGAACAGAGAGGTTTCTGAGACAGGAAAGTGACTTGCCCAAGGCTATATGTATACGGTATATGGAGAGTGCTAACAGTGTCTCCTGCTGTATGACGAGGGCTGCTGACGCCCACTCTCGCATGAGTCCCACCGTACTGGTGAGGACACCAGGGTTCTGAGGCCCTGCTCCCCCGCCCTGCGGCTGGGCACCGTGACTGCCTGGTGGTGGTGGAGGAGCTGCCTCTTGCCGCCTGTCCCTGGCAAACCTCCCTGCCCTGTACACTGGAGCTGGGGTGTCTGCCCTACCTTGGGCCCCAGGGCAGTGGGGGGAAGTGGGCAGGTGGGCACCCGCTGGGCATTACATGGCGCTGGGATTCTGCGGGCGCCGGCGGCGAGGGCCAGCTAGCTTCTGCTGCATGGAGTCCGCCAGGCTGGCTGGGGAGCCCGAGACTGTGGGGAAGTGGGTGAGCCTCGGGGTATGAGGCAGGATTTCCGCTGAGGACTCGTAGCTGTGTGAGAGACAGACAGAGAGACAGAAAAAAGAGATGGAGAGGAAGAGACTAAGGGAGGACAGAGACTTCTCTTCCAAGGAGCAGGGAGCAGAACTGGGTCTTATTTTATCTATCTCTGCACTCTCAGGCTCTGTGGAAAGAAGCCAGTGTTACTTGGAGAACAAAGAAGAAAAGATGCACCTACATAGGGGGACACTCTGCAAAAGAACTAGGATGCCCTAGATGTATACATGCTGCTGTGGAAACATCTCTCAGATACACCCTTGTGTGAAAAATCAAGATGCAGAATGCTCCAAGAATGCCACCGTCTACACAAGAATGTGTACACACATATGTGCTTTTAGGTGCAGAGATGTCTCTGAATGTCCAGGGACAGAGCTGGCCTCTGGGGGTGGCTGAGGTCTGAGGGGTTGTCCCTCTCATGCTATGGAATTTTTTTTTCATGCTGTGGAATTTTGACCGATGTGCATGTGTTACCTATTTAAAAAGAAGTAAATGAATTTTTATAAAAAAGGGAGAGTGCCAATAAAAAGAAAAGTAAAACCAAAGATAAGGTGGAGAATTAGGGAGAGAGATGGGCAGAAAGAGAAGAGAGAGACCATTTGCTTTATCACCTCAATCTAAGAACCTCCTGGGGAGTGGGGGACAGAAAGGTGGGGCGCCCATGTGGGCGAACATTTAGAGAAACAAAGCACCAAGTGGTTAAAGACAGGCACCCTCTGTCCTGGCTGGGGAGGTGGCCCCAAGTGGGGGCTGGGAGCCGAGGGTGAGGGTAAGGACTGAGCTCAGGGCTCAGGTCCACCCCTGCCCCCAGAGCTCCCCCAGATCTGCCCCCAAGTTCACCCCCAGCCTTGCCTCAGAGTCCACAGGGCTCTGCCGGGCCGGGAGCCACGAGCAGGCAGGTTGGGAGCCTGGGGCTCCTAGGAAGGGCAGAGGCAGGTACGGGGGAGGGATGAGTCACAGGCCCCCCTGCAGGCAGCCAGGTGCGCAGAAGGCTCGGCCAGGCAGGTGGAGCTGGGGAGGCCCCCGAGTGGGCAGCTGCAGCTGCACCCGGCAGCTACCTCTGGGTCCCTGGTGGGCGGGGTCAGTGCTGCTGGGGAGCAGACACCTGTCGGAGTCATGCAGGCCTCGGGGTCAGGGTGGGGCTGATCATCGGTGTGGCAGGTGTGCGGACGGCCATGGGGAAGGGGTATATGTGCGACTGAGACAGAGAGAAAGCAGCTGGCTGTGGGTTACAGCCACAGAGGCGACTGGATGGGGATTGACACCTGACTTCTAACAGGGCATTTCCATCACACTAGAGTCCCCTCTATTACTCACATGTAGAAACTGAGGCCGGAGGAGGGGAAGGACACGCCTGAAGTCACATGGCAGCAGAGTCAGGAATGGGAACGCAGGGTTCCCCACAGTGGGGCCGTCTGGGGAGGAATCTACACCAGCCAGTTCCTTCTCAAGACTCAGCTGGCATCTGGGTGTGGGGGCTGCCTCGAGAGCCCCAAGGCCTTGCCCTCCCCTGGCTCCTGGCCCCCAGGAGGGTTCCGCTGGTGCCCACGGGTCTGGCACCCATGTGCTGGTGGAAAGGGCGAGGGGTGAGGCCGGTGGTGGGAACAGTGCTCCCCTGGAGACATGTACCAACAGCCCTGGCAGGCTCCACTAGCTGCCTGCAGATGCACCTGTGCCCCTGCCGCCTCTTACCTGAACATCTCTGTCACTTCTCCCTTGGCCAGTGCCACCAGGACAGGAAAGCCGATGCAGGCGGGGACCAGGTACAGGAGCGCAGGCTGAGAGAGAACACAGGCTGGTGAGGCAATGATGGGCAGGGCACACGCTCAGGGCTGTGCCCATCACCCCAACCCTCTCCCGGGTGTGACTGAGGGACACTGACTGCCCAGGTTCACAGAGCAAGTCAGTGGCTGGGCCCAAACCCAGGGCTCCTGACTCCAGACCAGGGCTGTTCTTCTCTGGGAGGGAACACAAGAAACTCAAAGAAACTCAAGTATGCAGGGCTTTAAGGGCGCCCATGAGTCTGGATGGCAGCATCCCAACTGCCCAGGACATCAGGTTCAAACTTGCAACCTCCTGAGTTGGTCCTATTCCCAGAGACCCTGCTTGCCTAGGTCTGGGGCTGGAAGTCTGCACTTTTAACAACGCTCCAGGAGATGCTGTTAGAATGACAATGATTATGACATAGCTGCTATGGATGGAGTACTTTCTGTGGCCTGGATTGAAGTCACCCAACTGGTCATTGGCTCCACCGGGATTCATGCCCAGGTGGTCTGGGCCTGGAGCCTGTGAGGAAACTCCTGGTGAAGCTGGGTCTGGAGGACAGGACAATTACACTAACAGGCCCTGCTCCCAGAGTACCTACTGTGTGCACCGAGCTCAGCCTCTGGGGAGCGCTTCAGTCCATCTCCACACCCGCTGTGACCATCCTCCTTGTGTACGGAAGGAAGGCTGATGCTTCGGGAGGAGAAGGGGTAGCCCAGGCCTTGGAGGCCTAAATGGCAAACTGGAGGTTGAACTTGGGCACCCCCCAGACTCCAAAACCATTCTTCTCCTTGCAGCATCTGAAAGCTGGACCTCATGCTACTGATCAACCCTCCATGGCCCCCAATGCTCCCAGCAGCCTGAAGTCCCCATGAGATGTGACCCCTGCTTCCTTCTCCAACCTCACCTGCCCTGCCCTACTCTGGCCACACTGGCCTCATTTTGGTCCTCCTTGTCACCTGAAGCTACAGGACCTCTGCATGTACCATTTCTGGGATGTTCTCCCACCTGTGCCTAGGTTCCTCCTCCATCAGACCTCGGCTCAGCTGTTACTTCTGTGGGGCAGCCTTTGCTTGCATGGAGTCAGGCCCTCTTGCTGCACACTCTCAGCTCCCCCACTCCCCCTGCAATTCTTCACAACATTCTCTGGCAACTTGGACTGAAACATCCCTGTGCCATTATAGGCTGGAGTTTCTCTCCTGTTACGCTGTGAACTCCATGAGGGCAGGCTCCGCAGCTGTCTTGTTCACTGCTGTATTCCTGGTACTCAGAAGAGGGCCTGGTAAATACTAAGCCAATGGCTTCCTCACAGATGCTCACAAAATTAAGGGGGTGTCCTGGAGATAACTAGGGTGAGGGTGAAGGAGACATCGTTCCAAAGGCAAAGCCAACACCTGGCTAGAGAACACGGCTCCAGAGTCTCCTGAGGCTGACCATCAGACCATTTCCTGGCTCCTGCCATGGATGAGCTGTGAACTACCCTATTTCATATATGTCATCCTTGAAACTAATAACACCCTAATCATTTGGATCTGAGTTTTACAGATGATGCTATTAAGGTTCAGAAGGAAATGACTTGCCTGAGGTCACACAGGGTGTTAAGTGGCTGAGTTGGGATTTGAACTTGGGCAGCTGAGCTGCTTCTCCTGCATCAGGTCTTTGCTATGAGATAGGCTTTGGGCCAAGAATGATAGAAATCACAACAACAAAGGCGTGCACCAAGACTTGTGAGAGGCAGCCAAAGCAGTACTCAGGGGAAAATCTGTAATCCTAAGTATATTTACTAGAAAGACTGGAAAGAAACAATCTCAGTTTTCAAATCAGGAAGCCAGAAAAAGAATAAAATAAACATCCCCAAAGGAGGAAGAAAATAATAAAGGCAAAGCAAAAATTAATGAAATAAAAATAAAACAAATACAAACTGATTAAAATTTAATTTCTGAAAAATAGATCACTTTTATAGATGAAGAGACTGAAGATCAGAGGAGAAAAAAGGATCTGCCCTAAATCACACAGTTGGTCAGGATACAGACCCAGGTTCCTCTGTCTCTAAGTCCAGTATATTTTCCTCACCAAGGCCAGGCTGGGCCAAATAGAAGGCTTCCCAGGAGGAGGGTGCGTAGAAGTCTGGCCCCACCGTGGCCTGCCTCACTTAAGAGCTGGCAGCAACTGAGGGGCTCTTTTTTTTTTTTTTTCTTTCTTTTTTTTTGCGGTACGCGGGCCTCTCACTGTTGTGGCCTTTCCCGTTGCGGAGCACAGGCTCCGGACGCGCAGGCTCAGCAGCCATGGCTCACGGGCCCAGCCGCTCTGCGGCATGTGGGATCTTCCCGGACCAGGGCACGAACCCGTGTCCCCTGCATCGGCAGGCGGACTCTCAACCACTGCGCCACCAGGGAAGCCCTGGAGTGCATTTTTGATAGAAGCCAAATGGGAACACAGAGGCAGAAGTGACCCCTACCTAGGGAACTGCTCGCACTGGGACTGCCTATGTCTTGGAGAGGGAGAAGGAGCTCAAAGAACAGGTTTCCCTTGTGTCCCAATCCCCACCCCAAAAAAGATTTTCAGAGAGATGCCCGTGTGGGTGACTGAGAACAGGTGGGCTGCTGCTGGGGAGTAGCAGAGGCCTGAGACCAGGAGTCTAGGGCTCCAGCCAGGTCTCAGCTTGACTTGCTGCGTCACCCAGGGAAGGCTCCTTTTCTCTCTCCCACAGAGAGGACCACCTCTCCCACCTCTGCCCTGAGCCTGTGTGAGAGCTCCCACTGGAGCCTTCTCTGAGTCTAGCCCAGGCAGAAGGCAAGCCTGCCACCTGGTGGCCCTCTGTGGACTAGCTCTGGGCTTGGACTCTCACGGGACTGACAGCTGGAGAAGAGACCGTTAAGGAGGCCCAAGCACTCTGTGTGCCCTCTTTGCCAAGGGCATGTCCCTCTCAGCTTGCGGAGCTTCCAAGGCCATTTGGGGCAGAAGTGAATGAGAGGTGCTTCCCCACTGGTTCTTGGTTTCTCTATGGGCCAGGGGACCTTGGACCTTCTGTAAAACGTAAGTATCAATTTCACAGACATTGTAGATATAAAAATATTGTTAAGGACTAAATGAGTTAATGAGCGAGAGGGTTTAGCACAGTGCCTGGCACAGAGTAACTGGCCAGCAGCTCTTGTGATTAATTTAAATGTGGCTTCCCTGTGGCCGGTGCCCTGGAGAAGCGGGAAGGGAGGAGGAGGAGGGGAGGGTGGAGGGGGTACAGTAATGCTAACTGGGCCGGCAATTCTGAGCACTTTACTTATATTAACTCATTTCACCCTCAGACGACCCCAAGGTGGCTACTATTATTTATCCTCATTTTCCATTTTCACGAATCAGTGAGGAATCCTGAGTATAACTTCAGCAACTTGCCCAGAGTCCTGCAAAAGCAGATGGTGGAGCCTGGATTCACACCAGGGCTCCCTCGGCCTCCACTCCCCACTGCCTCTCCCATGGCCGGGGGTTCAGAGCCTGGGCTTGGTCTTCACGTGACACAGGTTTGAATCCTGGCTCCACCACACACTTGCCACATAGCATCTGAACTCCAGTTCCCTCATCTGTTCACAGGATCCTCCTGAAGTACTGAGCAGAGCCTGACACATGGGGAGTGCTCTTATTTCCAGTAGAGAGCAACCTTGTCTGCTGGCTTTCCCCTCCCCAGCTCCTCTTCTCCAGGCCACACTGACAGCTTTCAGCCCCAGCCCAGCCTGGTTCACTCTGTGGCAGCTCAGTACCCATCTAGGTGGGAGAAGGGGGCAGAGCCTGGCCTGCTTGGGGAGTGATGGAAGGGGGGCCCTGACATCCTGTCACTTACCTGGTGGGTGGACAATGGGCTGAGACCCCCAACACCCACCTGATCCTGTTCTTCTGTCCGCTCCCACTACCGAGGCTGAGAAGCCATGGCCACATTACAGCTGGGGCCCAGGGACACTGATCTGTCCCAGGAGATGTGGGCAAAAATCTGCTGAGAGGACTCGGAGAAAGGTGTCGCCTTCCTGATGAAGGCGACAGGCATGCTGGCATCCTTCCTCCTCCTCCTTGCCACCAGTGTGCATGTGCTGCCTGAAGCAGGGCAGTCACCTTGCAACGACCACAGGTGAAAAGGCCAAGAGAAGCACAGACACGCTTGCTCTACACCACTGCTTGCATGTGGGACAAGTACAGGCCCATCACTTGCAGTGAAAGCACTCCCGATACACCGAGGACAGTCATGCTCACCTGGGCGTGTTTGAAGATGTGCATGATGAAGATAGTCAGGCCCAGGCCGAAGATGTAGGCTGCAAAGCTGGTGTAGAAGTAGGTGTGGGTGTTCTTCTTCAAGCTTCAGTGATGGTGTGGGGAGAGAGGATGGTGAGATTGAGGCACTGCAGAGCAACAGTGAGGAGGGGGGGAGCTGGGGAAGACCCTGGAGGCTGTGTGGGGTGGCTGAGAGCTCTGGGCCGGGGGCTTGGAGGTGAGCATGCACTCTGATTCTGCCCCAGCTAAGTGTCTTTGGACCAGTCACTTTCCTTCTGTCAGCCTCAGTTTACTCATCTGCAAAATGGGAAAACCACGAGCCATCTCCCTAGTGGTTGCTGAATATCAAGTGCTATAACCTAGAACAGTGGCTAGGAAGCTCAGGCCAGCAGAAAAATCACCTGGACAGCATGTTAAAAAAATAGAGCTGTACGGGAGTTCCCTGGTGGCCTAGCGGTTAGGATTCTGGGCTTTCAGTGCCGTGGCCGGGTTCAATCCCTGGTCAGGGAACTGAAATTCCACAAGCCACGCAGCACGGCCAAAAAAAAAAAACAAAAACAAAAACAAAACAAAAGAAACACCCAGAGTTCTAGGTCCAATTTCCAGGGAGTCGGATCTAATAGGCCTGGGGCTCTGCATTTTTTTTTTAATTTTGTAATAACTTTATTTTTGGCTTTTTTTAAAAAATTGAAGTATAGTTGATTTATAATACCATATATAATATACGATACGATATATATATATCGTATTATATATATAATACGTATTATTATTATATGTATAATATACGATATGATAATATACTTTCAGGGGGAAAGCATGGTGATTCAGATATATATATAAATATATATATATATTCTTCTTCAGATTCTCTTCCCTTACAGGTTATTACAAAATATTAAGTGTAGCTCCCTGCGCTATACAGTAGGTCCTTGTTGGTTTGGGGATCTGCATTTTGAATCTGGTACAGGTGGATCATGCTTTGAGGAACACTGATACAGAAGCTGCACAGCAGAGTTCTTTTAAGCGCAGTGCAGGTTAACAGTTCAGTAGCCCGCTGTGAGTACTGAATGGACGCTGATTACATGGATAGAAGGCCAGTGGCTTTCTGGGCGATTCGCCCAAGATCAGCTTCAGAAGAGCTGACCCGTGCAACCTGGCACTGCCATCACTTGATGCCCTTTCACAATGGCAGCTCAGGACCTTTGCCTGTGTCCAGCAACATCTGTGGAATGACTGAGTACTTCTGATGCCCTTCCCTCCTTACCCTGGTGGCTTCTGAGCCTGAGCTGCAAGTACACTGAGACCTGTCCTGTTGCGCAGCCTGGAGGGTAACGGATTCCCTTTGGGAATGTCACGCAGATTCTGGAACCATCTCGGAAGGACCTGCTTATCCTGCAAGTCCAGGCCAGGAATGAGCTCCTTCCTCCAAGGGTGCTGTCAGGTGAATCTGTGTCTCTAGCAAATGGCCGGGAGACTCTCGTGGGTTGCTCTTTGTATTACCTCTGAACATCTAGGGGCAGAGCAGCTGGCACAGATGTGCTTCTACTTACAGACTGGCCAGGTCCCTTCCAAAGGCTCCACAGTGGCACTACCCAAATAACCCAGATCTATGTCAGTGAGCGTTAAGTTAAAGTTTCACATGCAACTTGGATTTCCATGCACTGGCACTGAGTTTCTCACTACCACTTTCAACACTATTACTGTTCTGGCAACTACTGGGCACAAGGAGATTAAGAAAAGTTCATAAACCACCTCAAAATTAAGCGCACACACAGCAAGCCCTCCACTGGGAAGACTGAGCACCACCTACTGGTGTCAGGCCCAGATGACCAGGTGCATTAACTCGGTGTGACCTTTTCTGAGTTTTAAGGGGTGGCTCAAATTGGCCCCCTTCCCTTGCCCTTGTGCTCACTTTCTACAACGGACTGAAAATGTCTGAGTAAGGAGAGGGTGTGGAACAGCTAGAGCAGCTGGAACATGGTGACCTGACCCCGGCTGATAAAAAGCGATAATGATGATGACGGTGCCTGCAGCCGGACTTCCCTGGGAGCCGCTGAGGTCAGCCTGTGCTCAGCACGCCCTCCACATCTTCTCAGTCAGCCCCGGGCAGGAGCTCCTGTTTACTACTAACTTAAGGATGAGAAACCTTCCTTCAGAAAGGTCAGTTCACTTGCCAAGAACACACGGTAAGAAAGCTCTATGGGTACCACCAGGACCCTCTGGGTTTATATCTCACTCTGTGATTCATACCTCCCCCACCCTCTCCAGGCTCTTTGAACACTTAGAACCTCAAGATGCAAAACGCAGATAAAATCGGAATTGCCCTGGCTGCTGTGGGGGTGGAAGTTGTGGTCCCGAGTTCTCTGTGGTCCCCAGAGAACCTCCCTGCCCAGGGGAGGCCCCTCACTTGTGGAACCTGAGCGTTAGGGTGCCTAAGCAGCTTACCTGATGTCAAAACGCAGCAGCAAGGCGATGAAGATTCCTGCGGGGAGAAAGCCAGGTTAGACAGTGGTAGAGGAGCAGGGTAGTCAGCTAATATGCAACTGGGTCCCCACTTGTTCTCAGCCACGGAGCAATCATCAGGGGCCAAGGGTGTGGCTGACACTGCGAACTGCCAGCAGAAATCCCGTTTCTCTACCTTCAGGCCACCTGGAACAATGAGACGGGCCCAGGATTTTGCTTTGGTCTGGGACCACGTTGACCTGGCAACTCAGAGCACCACAGTGTGGCACACTGGGCCCACCCTCCCAAACATTTATAGGGTGCCTAAGCACTAGGCACCATACGCAATACAGGGGGAAGCAAAACCACTCCTCTCAGAGCCCAGCCGAGGGGGCAGGGCATGCTGATCGAATATTAACAAAAATCAGTGTAAATAATCAGAAAAGAAGAAGTAAAGCTGTCACTGTTTGCAGATGACATGATACTATAGATAGAGAATTCTAAAGATGCTACCAGAAAACTACTAATCAATGAATTTGCTAAAGTAGCAGGATATAAAATTAATTCACAGAAATCTCTTGCATTCCTATACACTAATGATGAAAAATCTGCAAGAAAAATTAAGGGAACACTCCCATTTACCATTGCAACAAAAAGAATAAAATATCTAGTAATAAACCTACCTAAGCAGACAAAAGACTTGTATGCAGAAAACTATAAGACACTGAGGAAAGAAATTAAAGATGATACAAACAGATGGAGAGATATACAATGTTCTTGGATTGGAAGAATCAACATTGTGAAAATGACTATACTACCCAAAGCAATCTACAGAGTCAGTGCAATCCCTATCAAACTACCAATGGCATTTTTCACAGAACTAGAACAAAAAATTTCACAATTTGTATGGAAACACAAAAGACCCCGAATAGCCAAAGCAACCTTGAGAAAGAAAAATGGAGCTGGAGGAATCTGGCTCCTGGACTTCAGACTATACTACAAAGCTACAGTAATCAAGACAGGATGGTACTGGTACAAAAACAGAAATATAGATCAATGGAACATGATAGAAAGCCCAGAGATAAACCCATGCACATATGGTCACCTTACCTTTGATAAAGGAGGCAAGAATATACAAAGGAGAAAAGACAGCCTCTTCCATAAGTGGTGCTAGGAAAACTGGACAGCTACATGTAAAAGAATGAAATCAGAACACTCCCTAACACCATACACAAAAATAAACTCAAAATGGATTAAAGACTTAAACGTAAGACCAGACACTACAAAACTCTTAGAGGAAAACATAGGCAGAACACTCTATGACGTAAATCACAGCAAGATCCTTTTTGACCCACCTCCTAGAAAATGGAAATAAAAGTAAAAATTAAAAAATGGGACCTAATGACACTTAAAAGCTTTTGCACAGCAAAGGAAAACATAAACAAGATGAAAAGACAACCCTCAGAATGGCAGAAAATATTTGCAAACCAAGCAACTGACAAAGGATTAATCTCTAAAATTTACAAGCAGCTCATGCAGCTCAATATCAAAAAAAACAAACAACCCAATCCAAAAATGGCCAGAAGACCTAAATAGACATTTCTCCAAAGACGATATACAGATGGCCAAGAAGCACATGAAAGGATGCTCAACATCACTAATCACCAGAGAAATGCAAATCAAAACTACAATGAGGCATCACCTCACACCAGTCGGAATGGCCATCATCAAAAAATCTACAAACAATAAATGCTGGAGAGGGTGTGGAGAAAAGGTAACCCTCTTGCACTGTCGGTGGGAATGTAAATTGATACAGCCACTATGGAGAACAGTATGGAGGTTCCTTAAAAAACTAAAAACAGGGCTTCCCTGGTGGTGCAGTGGTTGGGAGTCCGCCTGCCGATGCGGGGGACACAGGTTCGTGCCCCAGTCTGGGAAGATCCCACATGCCGCGGAGCGGCTGGGCCCGTGAGCCGTGGCCAATGAGCCTGTGCGTCCGGAGCCTGTGCTCCACAGCGGGAGAGGCCACAGCAGTGAGAGGCCCACGTACCACAAAAAAAAGCCCCAAAAGGGCTTCCCTGGTGGCGCAGTGGTTGAGAGTCCGCCTGCCGATGCAGGGGACACGGGTTCGTGTCCCGGTTCGGGAAGATCCCACATGCCGCGGAGCGGCTGCACCCGTGAGCCATGGCTGCAGAGCCTGCGCGTCGGGAGCCTGTTGCTCCGCAACAGGAGAGGCCACAACAGTGAGAGGCCCGCGTACTGCAAAAAACAAAAACAAAAAACCCCCAAAAAACAAAAAAACTAAAAACAGAACTACCATATGACCCAACAATCCCACAACTGAGCATATACCCTAAGAAAACCGTAATTCAAAAAGAGTCATGTACCAAAATGTTCACTGCAGCTCTATTTACAATAGCCAGGACATGGAAGCAACCTAAGTGTCCATCGACAGATGAATGGATAAAGATGTGGCACATATATACGATGGAATATTACTCAGCCATAAAAAGAAACGAAATTGAGTTATTTATAGTGAGGTGGATGGACCCAGAGTCTGTCATACAGAGTGAAGTAAGTCAGAAAGAGAAACAAATACCATATGCTAACACATATATATATGGAATCTAAAAAAAAAAAAAAAAGGCTCTGAAGAACGCAGGGGCAGGACAGGAATAAAGACGTAGATGTAGAGAATGGACTTGAGGACACAGGGAGGGGAAAGGGTAAGCTGGGACGAAGTGAGAGAGTGTCACGGACATACATACACTACCAAATGTAAAATAGCTAGCTAGTGGGAAGCAGCCGCATAACACAGGGAGATCAGCTCAGTGCTTCGTGACCACCTAGAGGTGTGGGATAGGGAGGGTGGGAGGGAGATGCAAAAGGGAGGAGATATGGGGACATATGTATATGTATAGCAGATTCACTTTGTTATACAACAGAAACTAACATACCATTGTAAAGCAATTATACTCCAATAAAGATGTTAAAAAAAAAAATCAATGTAAGACTGCCTGTGAAAGGGTGCTTCCTGTGTCATGGGAAGGTCTATCAGGGGATGAGACCCAGGCTGGGGGGAGGTGGGGAGGAAGGAGGGCTTCTTTGAGGAAGTGACACTTGCCAGGGAGAGGGAACAGCGTGTGCAAAGAGGAAGAGGGCTCAGGAGGTGTGGCAAGGCTCAAGGAGCCAGTAAGGCTGCAGCCCAGAGCAGGAGATGCTGGGGATGGACCAGCCATGCAGGGCTCCATGGGTACGAGGAGTGGGAGTAAGGGGACACACCGGAAGAATTCTAAGTGGGAGAAAAACGTAAAAAGATTTTGAGAAAGAGCCCCATGGCAGTTGCTTGGCTGGAGGGAGAAAAAGCAGGAGCAAGCAGACCACCGGGAGGCTCTGCAGGAGCTGAGGCAAGGACCGTGAACTGTCCACCCACTGCACTATTTGCACTTCAGAACCGAGCCCAGTCGCGTTGGAAACCTGAGTCCCTGAGACACAGCCAGCCAGTCCGGCCTCTGCACGTTGCACACACGTCCATCTGTGTGTCTGTCTCCCTGACTTATCTTGGGGCTCAGACAGAGCAGGGCTGAGCCTCATTCAGTTGACAGCAGGTTCTCAGGAGCCAAAACATTCTGTGCTCATCAGAAGCCCTGACTGGCAACATGTGATTAATTTCAAAGAGGAAAATGAGTTAGTCCCCACTGAGGACTGTGAGCGGGGAGCTGGTGGCTGGTGAGAACAGACAAATGCTGCCGTTCTGGAAACAAAACTGGGAACCCAGTGGCCCCTGGCAGCTGAATTCTACAACTGTTCTTCAACTAATCCACGGGCCGGAGCTCCCAAGAGCTTTTACTCATAATCATGCATCTGATCCTCAAAGCAACACCCCACAATCCATTCTTCCTTCAAGATCATCCCCGAGGCTCTGTGAGGGTGCAATAACTCACACTGATTGTGACTGCTGAAAAGACTCAGATACACAGGAATATGGGGATATGCAGAGATGTCCCATGCAGGCGTCAAGCCCAGAACCACCCAACAAGGACAATGGGGAAGTCTGCGGGTGCCTGTGACAGACCCTCCCCTGCAGGGCGAGACGGATGCTTTATGGGACTCAGTTTCTTCAGTCTGATGGAGCTGCTTCCCTCCTCCCAGCACCACAAGCTATGGGAACACCTGGCTTCAAGACCATGGCCCCACGGCCTTAGGCAAGTCTCATCAGTAACGTGGAAATACCCTCTACCTCATCGGGCTGCTAGAAGTAGCAAAGATAACATATTAAAAAACACCCAGCATAGTGCTTGGCCAACAACAGGTGCTTGACAAGTGATAGTTCTGGGACTATCTTATTATTGTTACTACTGTCATAAAAGCAGTTCTGATAATATAACATTTTTTGCAGTCAGATAGACCGGGTCTGAGTCTTGGCCCTTTTGCTTCCTAGTGTGTGAATTTACCTTAAGTCCCTTCATTTCTGAGCCTCAGTTTCCTCACTGGCACAAGAGAGAAAGCCTCTGCTTCACCATCATACGTATCACAAAAGGAAGGTACCACAACACAGTGCCTGTGCCATCCCAGCTTACTAGCAGAATTGCTATTATGTCCTACACTGGAAAATAAATTGGCTTTTAATTTGTTTCAAACTTTCTTCTTTTAAGCAAGCACCAGGGGTGCTTCTAACCCTCTGACTCTGAGCCTCTGGGACTAGGGGAGTAAGAATGCTCTTTGGATGTTCCGTGCCCATCACCAGGCCTGGATCTCGCAGACACACAGAATCCAAGCCTCAGCCACTTCAGCTGCCCTCAGAGAGGGAGCTCAGCTTTGCCCCCAGGTAGTTCGGGCTGCAGGCCGCCAGGGATGTATGTCCAGGCTCAGACCTCCACACAGGGCACCTGTCCCTGTGTCCACAGGTACGCTACCACCCACACATGGATAATGGGCTCAAAGGCCAGCTCGCGCAGTCGAGCAGGTGCGTGCCACCTGTCCCTCTGCTAACACTGTAGACAAAGGAGCCCACAGGCATGGTGCCCCGTGTCCACACACAGTGCACGTTCTCCCTGAAGCCCTCCCAGCACTGGGGAGAGGAGGACCTGTGGCAGTTCTAGCACATTTGTGTTACCTGAAAACATTGGGAAGGGGTGTGTACACACGCAAGTGTGTGAGGGGATCAGATTCCTTTAACACTGCCACAGAATGTGCTTTTTTAGAGTGCATTTCAGTCTGTCATATACATTTATTTCTGTAGTTCTTGAGTAATGTCTGCTCACCCAGTCAGAAGCTCCATGAGGGGCAGTCTTGCTCACCCTATCCCTCCAGTGTGCAGCCCATGGCCTGGCCCAGGACCGGCACTCCACAATGTGTGCTGAGGTAGACCCCTTCACCAGACCCCTGGGCAGGGGGCAGGGGTATCTCCCAGCCTAATCCTTTCTCCTTCCCTCTCCTGGTGGGTAAGGCTGTGTTTCACAGGACTCCTCCTTCTCCAGGGAAGCCCCCTCCACCCTTTGCACTGTGGCCCCCACCTCAGCGTGGTCACCTGGAATGACGATGTCTCCGAGTCCCAGCATGGCAAAATTGTCCGCTTCCAGGCCCTTCTCCAGCAGATCCTGGGGAAACACCACTGCAGGGGGAGGCAGGGATGCGAGGAGGTGGTGAGAGCCCAGCTCACTCTGACTCCTAGCCCTCCACCTCTGGTGTATGGAACTCACACACTTGCATTTCTGGGTGGGGGGATGGGAATGGGGAGCTGAGAGGATTTCGAAGGGCTGAAGGGCAATGTCTCCATCTGGAATCACAGCTGGTTAGAGCAGGGAAGAATCTAGGATCATCTAGGCTAAAGGTTGAATGCCTTTATTCAGCTGTAACTCACATGTCATACAATTTCAATGCCCTTTTATAGCCAGAACTCTGGTTAAATGGGAATGACCCTAAAGCCTAGTATATAAAAGATGAAACAGCCCACACGGTGCTGGCATCTCACTGCAGCTGGGGTGTGGACAGACCCTTGTTCTGAAGCAGGGAGAGCTTGGGTTACAGGCTGTTTCTGTATCTGCTGAGGGTGAAGAGGTCACATACCTATAAATCCCTTGCTTAGAGCTCCTTACTCAGAAATCCTACTGGCCAGCTTGTTTGGATAAATACAGATTGAGAGAAATGCCTCCCTGTATGTCCAGTTATGGCAAGGGGCAGCTGTAGCTGGATTTCATCCACAGGGGCCTGGAGCAGACGGCAGTTATGTATGGGCTTCAGGGTCAGACTGTGTGGGTCTGAATCCTGGCTCTGCTGCGTGACTGCACAGTTTACTTAACTGCTCTGGGTCTTGGTTGTCTCACCTATAAAATGGGTATAACAGCTGAACTGACCCCACAGGGTTGTGGTGAGGATTAGGTGATTTGCACACATTGTTAACTGCTACGTCATGCCTTCTTTACTAACCCAGTCCTGCTTTTGTGTGTGGCCGCCCTCCCAGGGGATGAATCAAGTGTGGCATAAGGCTAAGACAATCAGGACAATCTGGTCCCCAAATTCCTGACTTCCCTGGCAGCTAGGAGTGGTCACGTGACCCAGCTCTGGCCAATGGTACGTAAGCAGAGGTAAGCTGGGGGTTCTGGGCAAGCTTGTGCTTCCCTAATGAATTGTAGAGGCCCTTCCTTGCCTGCTTCTTCCTGCCTTGAATGCACAATCAAGTGATTTACAGCTTTCCTCATTTGATCCTCCCAAACCTGGTACCATTCAATTCTGAGTGGCAGATGTGGAAACCAGGGCCCAGGGAGGTGAAGTCTCTTCCCTCAGGCCACGCAGCCAGCGAATGTCACATCTGGGATTCAAGTCCAGGCCTCCTGACTTCAGCATCTGTCCACTTAACCACTCTGTTAGACTGCCTCTGAGCTCTACTCCTAGCGGTGGAGGGCAACGGACTTTCTCCCCAAGCCAGAAAACCAAATTTCAAGCACCAGAAACCAGAGGTGACTGTCATTTCCCTGCTCAGAGTCTTCCAATGGCTCATCCACTGCCTGCTGGGCAGTGTCCAGGCTCCTTGACGTGCCATCCTTGGCTTCCCCATATCCGGCCTCTTTTCTGCTGCTCCCCTAAACTCAGCCACATTCCCTCCCCGATTCTCTGCTCCCTCCATGCATTTTCCTAATTGTAGCCCTTGGCTGAAGCTGTACTCTCTCTTTCAAATGCCCCTACTGCCCCTGCATGCTTGGTAAACACATATTCATCCTTCGTGACCCAGGACAGCTTTCCTGACACCTTGGCTGGGTTCATCCATCACAGCACGTAGGGCACAGCTGCTCTTCTTTCTGGCTTGCCCAGCATCTGTTCTCTTGCTCTGAAGAACTGCCCTCACCTTACACCCTTGGTTCTGGGAGGCTGCTGATTCAAATACTCTGCCCTCAGGCACTGGAGAGGGCAGTGACCCTGGCCTTTCCACCACTCCCAGCTGGAATGCCTAGCTCACGGGCCAGGCCAGCCTCCATGGGTTCATCCAAGCCAAAGCTGGGAGAAACCTGTTTTCCTCTAGGGTCGCTGAGCTGCGACTGCGGCAGCTAGGAACAACGAGTGGCCACCAACCTCTCTCCAGCTCACAGAGAGGACCTGTGTGCATCAGGGGAGAGTCAGACCGTGAGGAGGACAGTCATTTCTTCACTCTTGGGGCTGACTCCACCCCATCGGCCCGCTGCCCAAGCAGCACTCCTTGTGGAGCTGTGATGTCTTCCTGACAGGATCCCACTGCTTCCTTCCATCATGTCTGACTGATTCCGTTCCTCCTCTTTGGGTCTTGTGATGCCAGGAGGTGATTCTTGATTAGTCTAAGGCTTAAACTCCAAGCTCATCATGCTTTTCCCATCCCCCTTGATGATGAATGACAGAACTGGGCCTGTGACCCAATTCTGGCCAGTGAAGTATGAGAGAGGCTACAGGGGGGATTGGGGGAAAAACATCCCTCTCTGATGAAAGAGAGACATAAAGTTGCCCCTTTCTGCCCCTGAACATGTTGAGAATGGTGGGGTGGAGGGCTGAGGTGACCTTGGCTCTTGGCAACGCCAGTGAGGGTCAGAAACCCAACTCTAGATGCTCTGCCACTGGGCTTGCTGCAGTGTGAAATAACAACATTTCCACTTTTTTTTTTTTTTTTTTTGCCACGCAGCACGGCATGCAGGATCTTAGTTCCCTGACCAGGGATTGAACCCGCTCCCCCTGCAGTGGAAGGGCGGAGTCTTAACCATTGGACCGCCAAGGAAGTCTCCACGTTCTTTACAGATGCTTGTAGGTGGGCTTTCTAATATTTATAACAATGGATACACTGAAGAACAGAATCAGGGCAGTGTGAGAGGTGTGGGGCAGACAGCACCTGAGATTTATGTGCCAAAGGGATCCAGGGAGAGGACTCCAGGTCTTGGCGTGGGGGATATCCTCCTCTGGAGGCCCCTGCCTGCCCTGCACAGGCTGCGTCAGACACCCCTCTCTGTGCTCACCCCCATTCCAGCTCGTCCCACAGAGCCATGCACTGTGACCAGATGGCCGGAGGCCAGAGCCTGGGAGGAGGATGGCTGTGCAGGAACACAGTGGATGAATCAAAGGGGAGAAGGAAACCAGCCTGGAGACACAGGGGAGCTTGGAGAAGGAAGAGCTAAGGGAGGGTATGGACCAAAACAGGGACCACGAGGGGATGGGCCACCAGGGTGGGGGCAGACGGGCTCCCCATGGTGGGGTGGTCACTTACATTTTATTGGTGCCTCAAAGGACTTGGCCACTGTCACCATCACATTGGTGCCAAATACCTAGGAGGAGGAGAGAGGAGTCTGGAGGGAGGTGAGGGCTGGGTGGGAAGGAATGGCTGTGCTTGGGCTTCTCAATGTGCTGCTGCTTGGGACGGGCGGGAAAGGGGCAGGGAGCCAGGAAGGGCTCCAGAGCAGATGTGAAGTTGAGATGAGGTGGCCGCCGACACTGGCCATGTGGACACTTCACGGGGCTCCTTGTTCTAGGTAGCAACGAGGGGCAATTCCAAGGAGTTGGTAAAGGGCCTCTGATGCCCCCGGCCAGGCATTCTATGTTAGTTCAGGGGTCTGCCCCTCCCAAGAGAGAAAGTCCTCCAGCACCACGTACTTAAGGGGAGAAGAGGCTGCCTGAGGCCACGGAAAGGGTGCCTGAGTCAGGCTTCCCTCGATCCCTCAGCGGGGCCCCTCGGAGTGAGTGTGGCAGGTCTCTTAGCCCAGGGCTGGCACGCAGCCTACGTCCTCACAGTCGGTACCTTGCTCACCAGCGTCCACTCATCTGCTTTAACCACACTTGCCTCAACGTCTGAGCCTCAGCTCACTTGCCGGAGAGACACAGGATAAGCAATACCCCTGCTGGGGCCACCATGAGGAAGAGAGGGCGGCTGGAAGGCCCTGGGCATAGGGTGGGCTCTCAGCAAGTGAGGACTCTGCTCTCTCATCCATTCCACAGCTGAGGGCACTGGGCCCAGAAAGGACGTGCTCTGGGGTCTTACTTCCAGGTCAGGGCAGCTTCCCTCTATCAGACGACCGCTGCTTGGGCCAGAGACAGGGGAGGAGGCGGCGAGGGGGCCCGGTAGCCAGACACCCTTTGCGTCCCTGCCCAACTCACCCAGAAGACATCGTAGATGAAGAGCCCGCCCAGCAGGATGCAGCCGGTGCTGACGTTGTTCAGGTGCAGGAGCTCCACCCCATTAAGGGAGAAGGCCAGGCCGAAGAGGTTGTTGGCAACCCAGTGCTGGGGAAAGATGCAAGTGAGACCAGCTCTCCTGCCCCCAACCTGCCCCTCGGGCGCTCCCCCAACACTGCCCTGGGCCCTGGCTACGCACCTTCCTCAGCAGGTACCAGACACCAACGATGCTGCTCAGGCCCAGGCACACCAGGTCCTTGGTGTCAAACTCATAGTTGATGATCTCTGGGCAGAGAGGCCGGGTAAGTCCACTCCCCGGGGCGGGGCTGCCCCTCCCACCTGTCAGCCCCTGGACGGAGGAGGGCATGGCTGTGGGCTCTGTCAGAGATCCACAGGTTGGGGGTGCTCACTGGAGCCCCCCCACCCAGCCCCTCCAATTTCCTAGAGGAGGGAATGGAGGCCCAGAGAGCACACAGGCCTGACACAGGGTCGGTGGGAGATGGCTCATGGTGTTGGAAGCACGGGCTCTGCGCTTGTAGCTGGGCGGCCTCGGGGGAGGCAGTTCCCTCTCTGAGCTTCGGTTTCCTCATCTGTAAAAAGGGGATCACAGCACCTCCCTGATAGGACTGCTGTGGGGAGCAAGTGAGACGGCCCTTACACAGCGCTCAGCATGGAGCCTGCACACAGTGGGTGCTCAATCAATGCTGACTGCACGGATCCCAAGGCTTTTGCAAGGTCTCAGTTCATTCAGGAATCTTTCTACTGTGCCACCAAAGGAATCAAGAAGCTTGCTGGCAGCGCTGTGTCAACAGCACAGGAGGAGGAAGGTAAGAGAGGGAGGCCTGGAGAAGCAGTAGGCAGGAGGACCCCAGGGTGCTCTGGTGGGGAGCCTGTGGCAGACATCCTGATGTTAGACCCCTTCTCCACCACCTCCAAGTGTCCTACTGAGGAAGCCCAGAGAGGCGGTGGAGCTTGCCCAGGGTCACAGAGCACAGCATTTCCTTTCAGATTCCAGAATGTAGCAGACTGCTGGTTGGCCCCCGTTGTTGTTCGCTCCTTTGTGCTAACAATACCCTGATGATTTCCCCCTGGACACAAGGCCAACTAGCTCTCAGCCACATTTTCTAGCTTCCCTTTAGCTAAATGGGCCCGTGATACAGTTGTCTCTCCTTCCTCCGGGAGGGCCCGTGGAGCAATGGTGCGCTCTTCTGGATCCGCGGGCCCCCGAGTGCGGCAGAGCACAAGACAGGTGAAAAAACTCAACAGTCACTGACTGGGCACAGATGCCTAGAAATGCACAAAGGAATCCTGCTCTCCAGGATCTGCATATAAAATCGCTGCTCTCCAGGGACAAGGCAGAACATGCTAGGGACATTCACAAGTGCGACATTCGCAAGCTCAGGCTTTGACATGAGAGAAATACCTTCCATCTGGCCAAGCCGTTGATAATCCTGTCACAGCAGTAGAACCCACAACCTAACTAACCCACGTGACCCAGGCTTTCCCCAATTCCCTGCAGTTTTCATTTTTTCGAAAGCCACGGAACTCCCCTTTCAAATCGTAGGTGGGGAATAATCACACTAAAACCTGACATGATAAAAACAGCCACGAGAGCCGACTGTTTACTGTTCACGGTGAGCCAGGCAGTGTGCTGAATGCCTTCTACTCATCACTTACTCACAGCCCCAACAACATGCCTATAAGGGAGGTACTAGATTATGATGTTCACTTTACAGATGAAAAAAAACAAAAACAAAAAAACCCCAACCAAACCACTCAAGGCTCAGAGAGGTAACGGTGTGCACCCAGCAGCAGAGCTGGGATGTGATCCCAGAGCCCACCTTTTCCATCACTCGCTGTACCGGGGAGTCCCAGTATTGGAGAGACAAAGGCAGGGGTGGAGGAAGACACCCAAAGCAGGGGAAAGTGGGCAGCACTCACCTTCCTTGTTCTCCCCAGAGCCCTGGGTGAAGAGCAGCTGGTACTGTCGATTTGGGAAGTTGGCTGGAAAAAACTTATTCATGAAGGGGCTGGAAGGAAAGACAAAGCAGGTTGGCAAACAGAGCCCCCATGGGCAACAGTCACTGATGCCCTCCCCAGGCATCTGTTTACAAGCTGTTATCTCCCAACAGCCTCACAGCTGCCCTGAGAGGTAGGTGTTATTGTGCCCATTGTACAGATGTGGAAACAGGCCCTCAGAGGGCAAGTGACTGCCCAGGTCACATAGGAAGTCAATATCTGAGCTGAAACCTGAACGTAGGTCTCTGGACTCCTAGTGCTTCCATACTGCCTCCTAGTTATCACCCAAGAAGCACAAAGCAGAGGCAGACTTTCACACAGAACAGTTTTTAGGAGAGCAATGGATTCCAAAGTCTAGTTTATGTACCATCTGTATCAGAGTCCCTTGTCAAGAATGCATATTCTGGCTCAAGCCTGAGTAGGGCAAGTCCTCATTCTTGAAGGAGACCCACTGAGTCTAGGCAGATGGCAGAGCCGAAATGAGGTGCCAACCAGTAGCCTGGGGTGAGATCTGACTCCTTAGAGGGTGAGCATGCCTGGGCCCCATACTGCTTAGGATGCTGGAAGGCTAGCAGCCGAGAGGGGCTCATTAACCTCAGATGGTCCTAGATAAACCACTTTCTCCTTGCCGGCTCCCCCCGCAGCCAGAGGCAGCTGACCTGGCCTGGTCCAGAGTAAGGCAGAGGATGCGCCAACCATGGCCAGGCCCACAGAGGGAAAGAAGATCTGCAGCCCTCTCTCCTGGGCTGGAGGTAGAGAGGTAGATGGGTGAGGAGGCATGAATTTTTTTTTTAAAATAAATTCATTTATTTATTTATTTTTGGCTGCGTTGGGTCTTCGTTGCTGCGCGTGGGCTTTTTCTTTAGTTGCGACAAGTGGGGGCTACTCTTCATTGCGGTGCGTGGGCTTCTCATTGCTGTGGCTTCTCTTGTTGCAGAGCACAGGCTCTAGGCGTGCAGGCTTCAGTAGTTGTGGCACACAGGCTCAGTAGTTGTGGCTCGCGGGCTCTGGAGCGCAGGCTCAGTAGTTGTGGCGCACAGGCTTAGTTGCTCTGCGGCATGTGGGATCTTTCAGGACCAGGGCTCAAACCCATGTCCCCTGCATTGGCAGGTGGACTCTTAACCACTGCGCCACCAGGGAAGTCCCATGAATTCTGCTTTTGACTCTAGGAACGGAAAGATAAACCCCTTGTCCCAATTCCTCAGAAGTCTCTTGTTTATTCCCAAAGCCATTCAGATGTGTTCAATGTGGCAAATCAAAGCTGCAGCATTCCTTTGCATTTTGAGGCTATTAGAGACTTTCCATTAAAATGTCCATCCAGGGCTTCCCTGGTGGCGCAGCGGTTGAGAGTCCGCCTGCCGATGCAGGGGACACGGGTTTGTGCCCCGGTCCAGGAAGATCCCACATGCCGCGGAGCGGCTAGGCCCGTGAGCCATGGCTGCTGAGCCTGCGCGTCCGGAGCCTGTGCTCCGCAACGGGAGAGGCCACAACGGTGAGAGGCCCGCGTACTGCAAAAAAAAAGTCCATCCAATCACTCTTTCAAAGGTAGCCTGTTAAACTATTTTAAAGTTTTTGAAACCCCATAAAAGTCTAGCACACTCCTCTCTCTCTCTAGCAGTTAGCAGACCCAGAGCCAGCCGGAGTTGACTATAAAGTACACTATTCTGGTGACTTGTTTTAACTATTTCCTTTAATTTTCAGTTTCCCAGAACACTTAGCTATGTTGACATGAGGCAATTCCTTCTAGGTGATCCCTTAAATATTATATAAACTATGCCAACACAGATAAAGCATAAACAGTATAATGTGAATTATTGTTACCTGCACCTCTTACTTCAATAATAAGCATGGTGTCAGCTTTGTAATCCAAATAAAAGGAATTAAATATGGGAAAAAAAAGAATGCATATTCCTGGACTCCCTTCCAGACCTATTAAGTCAGATGACCTGATGGACACCCCACTCCATGACCTGTCAGGCCTGGGATTTTTACGAACTCAGCCGGACTTGATCAGCTAGATGAATCACAGCCCCTTGGGTGGGAGCAACCTCACATTCACTCCTTCCGTGAGGCCTCTGTTGCTCACGATGGGCTTGGCCTTATCTCTGGAAGCATTCTCTCTGATTACTCAGCATGGTCCACTTCCTGGCCAGGCAGGGAGCAGAGACTTTCTTTTCTGGATCACCTTCAGAGAAGGAACAGAAAACCAGGGGCTTCTGCTCAGCCTGGTGCGGCAGCATCGTGGAGTGGACACAAGCTTGGGGGGCCCAGCCCCGACACGTGCTCTGCCATGTGAGGCCCTGGGCGAGCCACTTTAGTGGCTCAGTCTCCTTGGTTATATGTGGGGATAATACCACCTGACTCAAAGGGTTGCTGTGAAGGTAGGAGAGAAGGTGGGGAGAAGTTTAGCCCAGCACTGGATCCTCAACAGGGGTCACAAGAACTGTGAGTGTCCATCATCGCTGGCACTTGTCCAGAGCCTGAGCTCGAAAGCAGTTGGCAACACCAGATCAGACCGACAACGACTGATGGGGTAGGCAAATCCAGAATGGTGCTCCCAGCTGTAGGAAAATGGACCCAGGCCGAGTGGTACCGAGGGCACAGTGGTAAAGGCAGGGAAAAGGGAGCTGTCCAAGACCCTGGGGCTTGGAGGAAGAAAATATGGATTAAGAACCATCTCTGGGCCTCAGTTTCCCCACTTGTCCAACAGCCAATCCCTCCCAGTCTGCAGGGCTGTGGCGTGAATGATGAGAGGGCTTCGTGATTATGTGGAGACATGGTCAACACAAGGATGCAATTGGGAGTGGGTTTCTACAAATGGGCTCTGAGCAGGTGGGAGGCAGCAGCTGGGATGGATGAGGCTGGAAGCTACTTTCAGCTCAGTTTGCTGAATCACTTTTAGGGAGTTTGAAGCCAGAGGGTGTGTGCAGAGGCAGAGAGAAGGCCTGAGGCGCTAAGCCCTTCACTCCAGCCTGGCATCTGCCTTAGGAGCTCAACCAGCAGAATGCAGTGGTTAAGAGTATGGACTCTGGAGCCAGGCTTCCTGGGTTCAACGTCTGGCCCTGCCACTGAGCTGTGTGACCTTGGCAAAGTTACTTAACTGCTCTGTGCAACTGTTTCCTCATTTGGAACACTATAACAATATCTTTCTCATAGGGATACTAAGAGGATTATACGAATGCTTGGCACCCTGTAAGCTTAACTGCAGCTTCAACTCCAAGTAGGAAGTCTCTAGACTGATGTCGTTGTTATCTCGAGAAAAGAGGGGCTGCTGGGTAACACATGGTAAGAGTCAAGCAACCTGGCCGGTGTGAGCCTGCCTTGAGGGCAGGAGTCCCGACTTATCGCCTTCACTACACTCATGCCAGGCTTAGGGCCTGGGAGGCAGCTAGTAAATGCGGAACACCTCTGAATGCGGGCTTTTGTAGCAGGCAGAGACTCCTTCCGGCCCTCGATGGCTCATGCCAAGCCTAAAGGCCACTGCTTCCTGCTGGGAAATCACATCCTGGTGCCCTTCTCCCCTGGGGGTGAAGACAAGGGTCAGTGAAACAGGTGATGTGGCCTCGCCCCCGTGGGGGGGCAGATTATGGTCTTATGAACCTTTTCGTCTAAAGGTCATCTGGGTGGGATATGAACTCAAGAGGTGATAAAAATAAGCTGTGGTTCCCTTGGCAGGAAGGATATTGGCATGGGCTTGAGTCTTGGTGACCGTACAAGGTGAAGGCAGGCTGTGAGCCCTTGCCTTCCTCCAAAACCTCAAGCTGTGCTACCTTTGCAGGGAGGCTTGAGGGGGCCGGGGGAAGTGGAAGGAATCCCATGAGCGTCTCTGCCTGGGCTACGCAGCTCCGGGCTCAGCTTCTACAGCCTCTCAGCAGGCCTCTCCTCTGCCAGTCCTCGGGAGACCACAGGCCCACCAGAGAGGGTGCCCAGGCCCCTGTCTTTAAGTTGCCTCTCCCCTTCACTTTTGCCAGACCGGAAAGAATACCTGGCCGTGGAGTTAGACAGGCCTGGGCTCAAAACTTCACTCTGCTCCTAGCAGCTACGAAGCTCTCTGAGCCTCAGTTTTCCTGTCTTGAATCTTCAGACCTTGTTCGGATCCTGAGGCAGGTCTGACTGAGTTTGTGGATACATATAAACAATTCATCAAAATTCTAACAACACTGTAGACTTCTTTGAGAAAATATTTAAGAAAATTCAATTTGATTGAAGAAAAGTCAATTTAATTCTTAGATCAACTACCTAAATAGCATGATTAAACTATGCCCTTCCCCTTTTCTACTAAAATTATTTTCATCTGATTCAGTTCTTTTCCATGTACATTTTACAGTAATGAGTTCTTTCATCCCAGCTTTTAGCCCGTATCAATTTTTTTCAGAGGATAGCTCGGACCCTGAATGGTGAGTACCCTTTATGCCCATGGCCACCCATTATTTTCATAAGGTCTAATCTTCCCAGGTCAAACTGTGTGCTCTAAATCTTATCAAGAAAATGATTCTTCTGTTAATTTTTAGTCACTAACAAATCTTACCATGGGCAGTTTTAGTTGCTTTGGTTCTATTTTCTTTGATAATTTCTAACAGTAAAAATTATGAATTGGTTAAAAGACAGACAACTGTTTCTTGACTAATCCACGGGAAATTTGGGACATTGTTCCTCAGTTACTATTCTAAAAGGGAAAAAAAGGTCTCTGGTGTCAAAATGACACAGGCTCAAAATACACTGCTCGTATTGATTGTAGGATTGTTGAGATAAAGTGAAATAATCAATTCCTCAGCACATGGCCGAACAAAATATACTGGGTTCTTGCACTCTGAGGTGGTGGCTGGGCTGTGGGGAGGACTGGGCTCTTAAGGCTCTTGTAGATGCTCGGGGGTAGGGGGAGATGGGCTAGAATTGAGGGGGGGGATCCAAACCAGCATGGGAAGTGACTGCTCCCACACCGGTCCACCAGGAAAGGACAGGTCTGTCCTTTGAGGAAGGGTGACTGGGTCTGCCACTATCTTGCTGGGTCCTGGTCAGTCAGGCTCTCTGGGTTTCCACCCTAAAAGGATGGCGGGCCTGGCGGGAGGGGGGGCGCTAGAACAAGGCCTTGTGGGTGAAGGTAGGTGTAGTTGGAGACAACACTGAACTCAGTCCCAGCTGTGTGAATTCGGGCCAGCCGCTCACTCTCGGTGCGCTTGGCACTTGCTCTGGGCAGGTCACAGACGTGCTCACTTGATCCTTCCCACGCCCCTACGAGGAGGTACTCGCAGCATCTCCATTTTATAGGTGAAGAAACTGATGCTAGGAAAGCTTGAGTAACTTGCACAAATAACAGAGCCTTGGTTCCAGGGCCATGTGCCTTTTGAGCCTATGCTCCTGACTTCCAGGGTCCTGCTTAGAGGAACGAGGCTAAACTCCCCCTGGCTCTGCACGCTTCCGCGAGGATCCTGCTCTTTCTCTCTGTTTTGGGAGATCCCGCCTGCACTGTCAATGTGCACAGGCCTTCCAGCTCCTGGCCTGGCATCTCCCTCCTACACCCTCTTCCGGGTTTCCTACCCTTCGGAGTTGAGTCCAAGTTGTGTTCCTGCCTTCTGGAAACTTTTCCTGGTCTGCTGACCACCTCTGTGGTTCTCAGCCCGAGGCTGTACCTCCTCAAGAGACCAGATGGAAATAGACTGGGATGCTTTTGTAGTCACAGTGAGGGGGTGTGCTGGGGGCACAACTCCCATTTGGAAAGCAGCCCCACCCGAGGACCAGTGGCTTAGACCCTTCATCCCCACTGAACTGACACAACATGTGGCAGTCTGAGCAGGGTGGCAGTGAAAAGAGGATGGGCTCTGGGGCCACAGAAACTTAGGTTTGAATCTTGGCTCTGCTGCTTATCAGCTGTGTTGTCCTAGCAAATTTCTTAACCTCTCTGAGCTTCAGTTTCTGAATGTAACAGATAATAATAATAATAATAACAACGGCTAACATTTATTGAACACACTGAGTGCCAGATACTGTGCTAAAAGCTTTCCACATGACCCATAAGGAAGGTACTATCAGTTTTCTTCACGTTCAGGTGAGGAAATTGAGCCCAGAGAGATTAAGTAAACTGCCCAAAGTCACAGGGCTATTAAGTGGCAGAGTCTGGATTCAAAGTCAGATAGTGAAATTCCAGAGCCTGTGCTCCTAACGTCTCTCGATACTGCCTCGCTCTCTTATGAGCTGAGACCACGTGTGAGAGGCCAGCTTAGTGCGTGTGCAGCAACTATGACACCTCGCCGGTGGCGATGGCATCACTCTTCTCAGTACTGTGACAACTACCATGACATTACTGTTCACAAATAACTTTCCCAACAACCGTGGTGGGAAATACCCACTGGATATTCTTACCATTCCTTGTAAAGAAACTGTGGCCCAGAGAGGTTAGGGTTCTTGTTCTAGGTCACCCACGGTATAACACAGGGGAAAGATTCCCTTGGATTTTACAGCCAGGATTCAAACCTGGCTCTGAATGACGCCAAAGGTCATGTTCTCATCCGAGACCCTGTACTTGCTCTTGAGAAAGCTGCTTCAAATGTCGCAGAGATGCCTTCTGACCTGATGGTGTGGGACAGGGCCAGGATTCCCAGCACGAAGAAATACATGGACAGCAAGAGGTTGATGTACTCCTGGGAGAATATCTGAGGCAGAAATACAAAGAGAAACAGGAAGTCAGGGTTGCCAGTGGCTATGAGGAAACCAGAGTCCACGCTTCTCTTCTGGAGTTGGGGAACAGTGTCAGAAAGACTCTCAAATGGTACTGGGGGGCCTTCTAGTTTCTATGGCAACAGGAAAAAGGGAAGGAACTTCAAGCCCTCAGATGCACCTCCCAAAGGAGTCTGTAGGTTTGCGCTTGGTGGCTCCATTATTTGCAGACAGGCAATATTGTGTGTGTGTCGAGGGTCCTGCATGGGGGAGGGGAGTCTGAAGTTCAGAGTCCCAAGAGAGCCGTCTGAACCTCAGAATGCACTCTTCCAAGCTTCCTTCTCTCAGCTCAAAAATCTAGGGAGCCCCCTACAGCGGCCACACAGTTGAGTCATCTGCACCCTGTTCCATTCTCCATGCTCTTCTGGACGACCCCTCCCCCAGTGGTTCTGAAGCTCTGATGGCAGGCCCTCACAGCTGCTTCTTGGTCCTGTTATTGTTAGGTGAACCCAAGGAATGTTGTCTCTCACAGGGCTAAAGCCAGTGGTCACATGTTGTTAATTCTGGACTTCAGGCAGGCTGTGCCATATGGCTCCATGGTTGCTGCACTGTCTTCTTTTTCATAAATTTATTTTTATTTATTTTTGGCTGTGTTGGGTCTTTGTTGCTGCATGTGGGCTTTCTCTAGTTGCGGCGAGTGGTGGCTACTCTTCATTGCGTTGTGGCGCGCGGGCTTCTCACTGCGGTGGCTTCTCTTGTTGCGGAGCACGGGCTCTAGGCACGTGGGCTTCAGTAGTTGTGGCACACGGGCTCAGCAGTTGTGGCTCACGGGCTCTAGAGCGCAGGCTCAGTAGTTGTGGCGCATGGGCTTAGTTGCTCCACGGCATGTGGGATCTTCCTGGACCAGGGCTCAAACCTGTGTCCCCTACATTGGCAGGCAGATTCTTAACCACTGCGCCACCAGGGAAGCCCTGCATCGTCTTCTAATTTGTTACCGTGAGGCTTTCTAACTGGGAGGGAATAATGTGCTGTGGTGTGGGGTCTGGGGCCACTGGCCACTCTCAAGTAGGGACCTGTTTAAACCTCTGTCTGAGCCCCTCGATCCGCTGCTTAATGCCTCTCAGCAGCTTCCCTCTGCTCCCACGAGCTCAAGGCCCACATCCTCCCCCTGCCCTCTCATGCTCTCGTGGTGACCACCACAGGCCTCCTCAGCCGCTCCTTCTCGTTCTCCGTGCTGCGGCCACACTGGCCTTGTTGTGCCACATCCCCACCCGCGGGTAGCCCATGTACATGCCTCTCTGCTGCCCAGGACGCTCTCCTCTCCTCACCCAGGTTTCCAAGCAGTTTTCCTTGACGTGACCTCCGTTAATTCAGCTCACGTTTACCAACTGTCTGCTACGCTGTGCTCAGCACTGGAATAGGCAGAAAAGTCCCTGCTCTCATGGAGTTCATGCGCCAGTGAGGGAGAATCTCACGAGATGAACATGCAATACACTGTCCGGTGGAGATGGGCGCTGAGAAGAAAAGCAAAGCAGGGCAAGGAGGCCGGGGGTGGGGGTGGGGCATCACACAGGTGGCCTGGGAAAGGCTCCACTGACTTCATTTAGGAGTAGAGCCCTTAACGAAGTAAGGGAGCGGCTGTGAGGATACCTGGGGGAAGAGCCTTTGAGGTGGAGGGAAGGGTGAGTGCATAGGTCCTGAAGTGGGCATGCGTTCACGTGTGCAGGGGACGGTGAGGGCTTGTGGCCAGGAGCCAAGGTAGGAAGGAGAGTGTCAGGAGACGAGGCTGGGAAGGTAGGAGGGAGATGGACCGTGAAAAAGGCTTTAGCTTCGTCTGGGTAAGACAGGCCAGTACTGCAGGGCTGAGGGCAAGGCTGTGATCTGATCTGACAGCCTGAGAGGATCCCTCTGCTGCTGTGTGGAAGGCAGACTCCAAAGGGCAAAAGTCAAGGCCGACAGCCCAGCAAGCGAGCTGCATCCAGGAGGATGGTGCCCTGGGCTGGGGGGCAGGAGGGATGTGATGAGCCGGGGTTGGATCCCCGATCAGCTCTGGACTAGCGAAGTGGGTTGTGCCCAGGGCTGCGTGCTGAGAGGAGGGAGGAACCCTCCTAGTTCGGCCGAGCAGTGAGGTGGGTGAAGTGCTGCTGTCTGAGACGGGGGCACGGGCAGGAGCAGATTCTTCCGTGCTCTTCTGGTGCTACAGACCCCGCCTTCACACCACTTTCTAGGACTGTCACTTCGCATTTATCTGTGTGACTGCTTGACCGGTGTCTGTCTCCACCACTTAACAAGAAGCTCCTTGAGGGCAGGGGTGGGCCAGCTGTTTTCCTCACTGCAGTGTCCCCAGCACCCAGCACAGGATCTGGTGTGTGTTTGTAGAATGACCAAATGGACGAGCACATCAGTGGCTACAGTGTGAATGCTCCTACCCACACAGGCGTGTGGGCCGTATTTACCCGTGAAGACATGGTGTCCTCTCACACAGTGTTCTTTCAACGTGGGTCCTGGGGAGAAATTTCTCTCTGGCCACACCTTTGAGCTTCTGGTCGGCTTGACTGTGTGGACTATGAATTGTGCACCAAGTCTCACTTTCTTTGTGCTTTGGCTGCTAGAAAATAGAGTCACGCCTGTGTCAGAGGCACTTCTGACAAGAGTACAAGTCTTTAGACTTTAGAGCATGGGGTCTGGGTATGGTCCTCACCCAGAGCTTCACTGTCTTTTCCTATTTTTTCTCCTTTACCCCAGTTTCTTCCTTTATTATTTTTCTTATGCTGTTGGATATAATTTTTATAAGTTGCCTCAAAGCAATCAGGTTTAAATGAGGTGGGATAAGGTAAATTTTATGATTTTGAGAAATGTAACCAACTCCAGTGCCCCAACCAGGAAAGGAGAAGGAAAGGGGCAGAGTGAGAGCCACTGTTAAGCAAACCACAACCAGCGGTCAGTCTGGAGTTTGGAAGGGATCTGGTGGCCGTGCTATCCAGGCAGCTGCCTTTCAGACATCTCAACAAGGACACTCTGGTGACTTGGGAGGAGGTATGCTGTGTCCTCTGGCACAAGGCAGGCTGGGGCTTACCTGCTTGGAGAGGAGGACAGGCTGAGCAACAGGCGTCCGGAGCCTTAAATAAAAATGTTCACGCCCTCTGCTGCCAGAAAGTCCTTTCTGGGGAATCTATAGCCTCAGGAGAGAATCCTAAATACTAAAAATGTTAGATGGTCCTGAGGCAAAGGCCTGGGTGTATATTCCTAGCGCTTAGCACAGCAGAGACTCGAGAAATATCTGCCAAAAGCCAAGTCGGAGGCAATGAGCTAGATGTGTACAGAGCCACAGAGAGATCTCAGGAGCACAGGGGAGAGGAGAAGGAACACAGTTCTACTTACGGAAACCAGACTCTCACTAAATACACACAGATACATTAACACCATATATTTTATAAAAAGACACACATCCAAGGACACAAATCAAATGCATTAGGGCAGGTGCCTCTGGTGAAGGGAAATGAAGGTGGCAAATGGAGATGGGCATCAGGGTGAAGGTGGTGAAGGAAACAAGGAGGGGCCCTGGCGTGGGCCGATGCCAGTGTGCTGTGAACCAAAGCATATGATAAATTCACCTCTTCTCCCGAGGTCCAGGGAAAAAAAAAAATCAGTGAATACCTAACGTTATTTGATGCACTCTTACTTATAAGAGTAAAAATCAGAACGATATTTTCTGTTTAAAGAGAGGGGGATGCTATAAGTCAGTCGTGGTGTATCTGCTTGTGGGGATATCCTGAAATCATTAAGAGGAGCAGTTCTGATCCAATAATGAGGGAGTGATGGAACAGGAAGCAGGCGTTAAAAATTATGTTTCTGACTCACTCACAGACTGGTAAAAATAAAGGATTTTGAGGCGAGTCAGTATAGGTGGGAGTACAGTGAAGCCAGCACACTTGTAACTGTTGGTGGAAATGTAAATTGGTACAATCGGAGGGATTTGGCACCAACTATTCCGGATGCTGTTTGATCTGGTAATGCTACTGCAGATATACTTGCCAGATACTTACATGAGGAGGCTCATGGCGGCAGTGCTGGGACATCCCACCACTGAATGCCCCTCAGGGGCACATCCACGAAACACAACCACAAGCAGCTGTTACAAGAACTGAGGTAGCTCTGACTGTGCTGATATAAGAACCATGTGTTCGATACATATATTTGTTTTAAAATTGTTACATAAATGTAGATCTATGCATAATAGAATGAGTCACAAGAAACTACGTTGGGGAGAGGATTATGGCTCATTTGCACCTTCCCTTAGATTGAAAAAAATTTTCTTAAACTATGTTTATGTATTTTTAAAATGTGAATTAAAAGTTATCCTTGAGGAGGGATTTCCCTGGTGGTCCAGTGGTTAGGACTCTGAGCTTCCACTGCAAGGGGCATGGGTTCGATCCCTGGTCGGGGAACTCAGATCCCATGTGCCGAGCAGCGTGGCCCGGGGCGGGGTGGGGGAAAAGTTATCCTTGAGGAATTTTCAATGACCAGGAAAAAAGTGCTTGTAATGTATTATTTAAAAAAAAATAGTTATAAAATGATTATCATTAGGTTAAAAATACGAATATGAAAAGCCTGAAAGGAGATATGCCAAAACGTTAATAGTGATTACCTCTGTGTATTTTTCCCTCTCTTTAAGTTTTCTGCATATATTACTTTTATAATCAGAAAACAGTACATGTTATATTAAAAAAAAAAAGTTTGAGAGTTTGCAGTAACATGAGAAAATGCTCAGGATGTAATTAATGTGAAGTGAGAAAAGCAGCTACAGGACTGTATACAGCACATGTTCACAGCTACGGAGGAACCATGCACAGGGAAAAGCAGAGGAAGGACACACCTCCAAAGGGACTCTGTGACTGTCTCTGGCAGGGGGGTTTTGGATGGCTGCTGTTTTCCCCTTTTTACTTTTCTGTGTTTTCCAGGTTTTCAACACTGAGCCTGTGTAACTTTTATTGGGAAAATAAACCTCGATAAATTAAAAAAAAAAAAAAAGCAATTAGTATGGTAGAGGTATGTCCGAGACATAGCTATACCCCACCCCAATATGAAGAGTACAATGAAACCAAACCGGTATCAGGAAAACAAAACAGAAAGCTCCTCGAAGAAGGGAAATAAAGACTGGTGGGAAGGGGCCCCTGATATCACAGTGGGGTCTCTGGGTAGTGGGCCTAAGGGTAAATTGTTATTTTTCCTGCTCTTTATTTTCTATAAATGAACATGCATGTCTCCTGTGATGGGAAAAATAAAACAAAATCAAATAAAGTTATTCAAACCGAATGCTACAACAGGTGACAAAGGACTTACTTTGAAAAAGAGGTAGAGCCCCAAGAGCGTGCAGCTGGCGATGATGGGGAACCGGGCAGCGTCCCGGCTGGTGATGGTCTCGGGCATGTCCGAGGCATTCTAGACGAGAGAAGAAAGGCCCTGCTGAGTGCTGGGAGTGGATGGCCTCTGAGGGTTGGATGCTGGCAGGAATTTGGTGCCCCAACAGCTCGTTCATCTCCTTCCCCTTCTGCCATCACTGAGTTGCCTCAGGGGTCCCCACGTTCTCCTGACTCAGGGCTTGGCAAGTGCTGTTCCCTCTGCCCGGGCTGCGGACCACCCAACCTGGGGCAGGACGCTCTGATCCCATCGTCTTGCTATTGAGGAGACCTGCACTCCAACAGGGACAGTTTCTGGGAGGACCCAGGGCACGTGCGGCAGAGGCAATGGGTACATAATAACTGAAAGAGAAAACCCTGGACACTGGTGACAAGACAGCAGTTCTGGGCCTCGCGAGGACTACCTCCAGTTTTCTTATGGTTTAGCAGAGATGTAAATATGATCAGTCTTTTATCCAGTAGGCAGTGAATATTATTAGTGGAAATAAGCCAACAACACACAAAACTTAACAATGGCTAAAACCGAGTATGGGAAGACACCAACTGCAAGGAGAAGCAAATCTGGACAAAACTCAAACTCAAGAAGTGTGACTGCGAAAACTGAATCTGGTCAGAGTAAAAGCCACCTTTAAATTCACAATGGCAGATGCAATAGTTGGCAAGAATGTGATCTAGGTAAAGAGCTGACGGAGGATAAATATTTACATGAAAAACAACTGAAGGCAATCAAAATCATTTCAGTATTATCAAAATGGAAAAAAATTGGAAACAGAGTAACAGTGCAACATAGAAAATTAAGTCAGCTCCATAGAATTCATGACAGAAGACTTTCGAATGAAAATCCATCATAGTAGTATAATTCTGGTTTAAATTTATATTAAAAATGTTTTTTAGTCAAGTGGGGAGGCCCTTAACCAAACCCCAACATATGCATGGCTGAGGCGGCCCAGGCACAGGGCTGAAGGGAGACCCGCCCTTGTGGAGGGACCAGGTAGCTCTGTGTGAGTCACTCTCTGGCAGCTTTGCTGGGAGTGGGGTGGCGGTGGGTGAGCAACAGTGACATGGAGAGGCAGGGTCATCTTCCTTCCCTCTTCTCTCCCAGCCCTTGGTTTCTGCTTTTGGCAGCACTGTGCTGTGGGGTCTGGGCAAATTCATCGCCCTCTCTGTGTACCTCCATAAAATCATTATATTTCCTGTGTAGCAGCAGGGTGGGCACAAAAATAAATGAGCTCCTGACCATAAAGAGTTCACAGGCAGGTAGGCAAGACCTTGACATGTAAACAGAATATCACCCCATACTGTGACATGTGACAGAACAGAGACACGCATACTGCGGTGGTACGTGGCATGAGTGCCCAGTGGTGGAGGGAGGTCTCTGATGTCAGCAGGCCCAGCTGCACTCCCAGCTCTGCTTCTTTCCAGGTTTGGGACCTTGGGGAAGTTAACTTCCTTCTCAGAGCCTCAATTTCCTCAGCTGTAAAATGGGGTGCCAGGATTTGATGATTTTTTTTCCCCCCACAGCACTGGAAGTACTTGTGTTGTGCCTTGAGCTTCCCATAAGTTGTATAAACTATTTGTATTATTCTTATGTAGAAGGGAATCATGAGAAAGCAGACAGGACACTACTTTCACAAGGAAGCAGGGGAGTGTCAGAGCTGGTTAGAGCAGATATCACTTAAGCAAGGCCTTGAAGGCCAACCACAGGGTCTGGTATGTAGTCGAAGCCAGATAAACGCTGACTAAGTTGAGGAGTTTGCTTTGTGTACGAGGAAGGGAAGCGCTTACCAGGCAGAGGGACCTGTAGATGCAGGCAGGGCACATGGTATGAAAACATTCACGGACCCTGGCTTCACCTACAAACCAGTGTTACCGCTCATTTCCACAGTCATTTCAATTCAGCCCAGGATCCTGGGCGGGAAGAGGCTTAATATTATTCGATGACAAACCAGGCTGGACAGATGCTCCATCACACAAGGAATCTGGTCTCCTCTGTGGGTGACTATTGGAAATATCCCACGTGCAATGTTGAGTCAGAACAGGAGACTTGAAATCTGACCAATGATGACAGTGACACGGATAACCCTTACTGAGAGCTTTCTAGGTGCCAAGCATTGTTCTAGGTGCTTTACATGATTTCATCCTCACAGTAACCCCAGGAAGCAGGTACTTTTAATAGCTCCACTTTACAGATGAAGAGACTGAGGCTCAGAGAGGTGACATAACTTGCTTTAAGGTCACACAGCTGACGAGTGGCAGAGCCAGTATTCACACTGAGGCAGTCTGGTTCCAGAGCCCAAACTCTTGGCTATTACCCCCTAGACGTCCTCTACCTTTTCTATCTGGAAATTTCTGCTGGAAAGTTGTGACAAGATGCTCAGGGAGCCTGCGACCTTTCTGAGGAACAGAATCCTGAAGGCAACAGAATCTTTGTAGTTGGAAAAATACAAAAAGTTGTCAGGATTCTCCACTGATTCAATTTGGATTTTTAAACTAGACGTTCTTATGCAAATGCAATGGCTCCTGAAATGCAAAACATACTTGGGGGCGGTGGCGGGGGCGGGGGGGGGGTTGGGAACTGACACAAAGAGCAGAAATAAATTCAGCTTCCAGTGACATTCCGCATGCTCAGTTATCAGGGCGGAAGCAAAAGCAGGGAGGGAAGATGGCTCACTCAAGTCTTTGGCTCAGCTGGAGCTCTGGGAGTTCTGCTTCCAGGCCATGCCCTAGAAAGGATCTGGAATTCGTGGGCCATTCTGTTACCCCAGGGTCTCCTCTCCTCACTGCCACGTGCACTCACTCACCTGAGCATCTCCTGAACTACCCCCCACCCCAGCCCTTTGCCCCTACTGCAGTCTCCACTAGCACCACCTCACCAGCCCCTTTCCTGCCTGTCACCTCCCCTATCAGGAGCTCTTTCTGAAGGACCTGATCGCATCCCACAACAGCTCAGAAACCTCTGGAGAATGGACTACCAAGCAGCCATCAAACAAGAACTGAGGTCACTGCGGGTGGGAGTATAAACTGGTACAACCTCTATGGTGGATAATGTGATAAAATCCGTCTAAATCAAACATGCACAGAGCCTTTGACCCTGCAAATCGATTTTAAGGAATTTATCCTACAAATACACAGAAAAGTGTAAAGTAACAAATGTATAAGGAGATTAATTTCAGCATGGTTTGCGATAGCAGAAGATTGACACACCTAACTGACCAGTGGAGGACTCCAAATTAGGGGCCCTCACACTTGGGCTCGCATCAGAATCGCCAGGAGGGCTTGTGAACAGATCTGCGTTTCTAACAAGTTCCCAGGTGATAACTGAGGCTGCTGGTCCTGGGATTACATTTTGAGAATCATGGCTGGGGGGTACAGGTGGACACCACACAGCTGTTAAAGAATGCAACCATGCCATGGGTACTGACATATTAGATCTCCAACATGTAAGTGGTGAAAACAGCAAGGTGTAAAAAAGAGTTTATCTATAACAAAATGTAACAGTTATGTAGCAAAAAATGGGGGGAAGCATATGCTTATTTATTTGTAAAGGCACAGAGGCTCTGGATGGATAGCCAAGAAACATGTAACAGGGGCTGCCTCGGGGGAGGGAAACTGGGAAGCTGGGGTGGGAGGGAGATTTCACTTTGTCCCCCTGTACCTTTGGAATTCTACACCTTGGGCGTGCGTGACCTACCCTCCCCGCCATAAAACGAGGTACATCTACATGTACTGACATAAGAAAACTACCAAGACATACTGTTAAGGAAAAAAAAAAGAATCGAGTTTCAGGGCAATTATGTACCACAAAATCCCACTTTTATAAAAATAAATTTACATATGTATATACACACAGGCACATACTTGTTTGTATATATACAGAAAAAGGTCTGGAAGATGGCACACCAAACAGCTAACTGGGTTACTTCCACAGAAGTGGTACTGGGGGGGGGGCTTTTCCTTTATACTTCTGCGTTGCTTGAATTTTTACAAATGCAAACATGTAGTAACTACGAAGATTAACTGGTGCGTTGCCCTCAGGATTCTGTACCTCAGAATGGCCGCAGGATCCCAGAGCATCTTCCTGTTACATCACCCGAGTACCTGTACTGGGCTCACATCAAACTGCTCACTGCCTCCTGGAAAACACCTGTGGGCCCACGCCTCCCTCTCCTCCTGTCCTGCCTGCTGAGCTATCCACCCTGCCAAAGATCACTGCTGCCACCTCTAGCAGTCGGCTGGTCACACAGCTGTTTCTCCTTGGTGACTGCACTCTGTGAGGGGAGGGCTTGGCCTTCTTTGTCTTGGCACCCCTGGTACCCAGCCCAGAGCAGGAACCCAGTCCAGCTGGCTGAGGGGCTCCTCTGAGTTACAGGCCAAAGGCCTTTGAAGCAATGATGAGTAGTTGTTGCTGGGATTTGCTCCCTTCTGGGAACAGAGGTCTCTGACAGGAATGGGCACTGCTCTCAGATGGCTCTGCCCATGGCTACTTCTTCCCAACACACTCCCGGACTTCTCCTCCCATGATTTCACAACTCGCCCTGCCTGTCATGGACAACTTGCCCCCAGGGAGAATTCTGTCCTCACATGTCCTCTCAGCTGGCTGTGGGGGGTCTAACACTAGTGGGAAATCAAAACTCCTGGGCCCCCAAGCTAACTTTTCTCTCCTTGCCAAATGATTAGAGAAACAACTCAGGGTAGAAAAAGGGAGTCGTTTGGCCTGTCCTCTCCCTAGGCCAAGATGCCACTTGTATGGGTCTTTAGAGGCATCTGCATCAAAGAGAGAGCCCCGGACTAGGACCAGGGACACCTGGTTCTGCCCCTAATTGGCAGAGAAGTCATTTCTTTGACTCTCAGTATCTCTGTGCAATGGTGTTAATAAAACTGGCTCTGCCTGTCTCACTCAGTTGCTGGGAGAATCAGAGGGCGAAGGCTTGTAAACTTTAGAATACCCTGGTTACTGGTGGTGGGAGGCTACTAAGGGTCAGGCTGTTTGCAATTCCATGCACAGTCTTCCAGCACCCCTGTCTTGCCGGAGATGCTGGGGAGAGGTATTTAGATGCTTCAGTAGATTGAAAGCTCTCTTCTATCCCTACCCTCTGCTCCAGCCACTCCAGACCGTCCACCATCACCTAAACTGCCTCGTACAGCTGCTTTCCTGGTTTCCTCTGCCTCGAATGTCTTCTGGGGGAAATTCGACCTCTACGTCAAGGCTCCAGCCCACCTCCAGCACAAAGCCGCCCTGCCCTGCCCCAGGTGTGTTCAATCTTTCTCCCTAAAGCCTGCGGCACTGCCTGTACTACAATCACAGATCTAGTTATTCCTCTCTTGTCCAGACACCTCAACTCCTTGGTGACAGGGCTCTGACCCACTCATCTTTGCAGCATCCGTCTGTCCTGGACAACAGTGGAGGTTCAGGAAATTCTGTTGTCTGGAAGGTGTTTTCTGAAGAGATTACTAATCCATGTGTAGATGGTGCCAAGGAGAATTACTCAGTATAGGGAGCCCCTCACATCAAGTGCCCAGCTCACTCCTTGCTGCCCTTCACCTTCTTTGTCCTGATCTATTTCAGAACATCCCCCTGTACCAAGTGTTTGCCCGAAGCAAAGGTAGGGAGGATGAAAGCCACCAGAACTCTGCTTAGAAGAGGCAGAATTGTACGGAAAATGGGGCCACCTAAGCATGACCAATCCCCTTTGCATCTGACCACAGAGGGAACCAGCCTCAAGTTCTCTGATCTTGAGAAAGGAAGGTGGCAGGCCTCGGCCACTGCTCAAGTTGGGTAATGTTTTGAGAACCTGGGCTTGAGCAGTTTCAAAAGTGGCAGCTCCTCTATGGGTCTGCCCTCTTTGGGTACGACGGCTTCCGCTAAGGTTCAACTTCAGGTCTGGGTGGGGGAGGAGCAGCAGGGAGCTGCAGATCAGGAGGTGGTGGAGGATGATGGGAGAGGCTGCCAGGAAGTGAGAAGTCACTGGTGCAACGGGCTAGTGAGGTCTTAATATCAGGAAGAAGGGTGACAGAGAGGAAGTCAGAAGGTGGAAGGCCCTGGGGTCCTCTTAGGTATCCAATGGGACAGATGTTGAAGGACAGGGATGAGCTCTGGCCCAGTCTCACAAGAGAGGCCTACAGCAGCTCAGTTACTCAGCAGGTAAGCCCAGTTTGGTGGAAAGACTGTCTTAAGGGGCATGAGAAGAGCTACTTTGAGGTAGGGTCTGGGGTGGCAACAGGGTCAGGGTTAGGGGTTAGGAATAGGGTCTGGGCTCAGGCTCAGACAGGTCCAAGCTTGGGTGTAGTCAGGGAGAGAAAACCAGCAAACCAAGGGTCTATGGCTGGTTAAAAAGAGAGGCACCAAAGTGCCAGGTCCTGAGGAGTTGTGTGACCGGAATTGGTTCCAGAAAGTGATGCAAAAAACTAGGAGCTGAGCTGGGGGTTCCAGGAGCTAATATTCCTGTGTTAGTTTTTTTTTTTTTTTTTTTTAAGGTGGGGCAAAGGCTTGATCTGGGGGTTCTAGGAGAGCACTCTAGGGGTCACAGATTCCAGCTGGACAGGTGTCAGACTCTAGGGATGAGCCTGGGTGCCAGAATTTGCCCTGGGTTAGGGTGAGGAATGACAAGAGGCTGTACTATTCAGGAGGTGTCAGAACCAGTGCCCCATCAGATACAGATGGATGTTGACCCAGAGCCTGGGATGGGGTGACTGTCCCAGATGGGATGAACAGCCAGAGCAGAGCGTGAGGCTGGTCTGGCTGGGTCCAGCAGGCTGAAAACAATTAGTACCCGAATCACAGTGTCAGAGTCGGCCAACAGTGCTTCCAGCATGGTGCACAGAGGGAGGGATGTGTCAAGGTCCGAACGGGGGTGGAAACCGCTCCCTATTTGAGAAAGGTGTCAGTACCTGGTTCGTGGATCGGTGCCCAGATCCTGGGGCACCTAAGGTCAGCCCCGGGATGTGGGCCCGGGTTGGGGATGCGGTGGTGAGCAATGCTGGGAAGGCTCAGTGTCCGGGCAGAGGAGGTGTCTGTCCCGTCCAGGGCGGGCGGGGGAAGGGTCCGTGCCAGCAGTGTCAGGGTGGGAGGTGGACAGCGCCCGGCTTTGCCGCTGACCCTACCTTGCCGCGGGCGCAGCGCACGGAGCGCAGGGCGCCGAAGAAGATGGGCAGCAGCGCCATGAGCAGGAGGCTGCCATAGGCCAGCGCGATGCCCTCGGGCGTGGAAGGCGGCCGCGTCGTGCCGTTGGTTGGGCCGCCTGCCTCGACACTGCCGTTATGCGGGTCGCTGAGGGCCGAGTCCATGGCAAGGCTGCACTCGGGGTCCGACTCCAGGTCCGGCAGCTGCAGCAGAGACGCAAAAGGGAAGACGGGCTATGCGTGGAAAGCCACGTTCCCCTAAAGAAACAGGAAGTGACGTGCTTCCCTCGCCGGCCTGCGCCGCGCACGCGTGCGCGTTCACGTCTCCCCGCCCGCGCGCCCTCTAGCGGTGGCGGAGGGACAGGCGGCCGGTTGCTAAGCAACTTGCTGGCAGCAGGGAGAGGAACACTGGACCACTGCGGTGGATATCCATCCCTAGGGAGACCTGAGGGCCCCATTCTCTAGTCCCAGTCAACCTCCTTAACTCCAGGATACTAATAACTAAGAACTTGTTTACTCATGCAGGCATTCATCCAATATTTAATCATTCCCTCACTCCTTAAGTATTTGAGTATCCCATCATATCCAGGCACTGTCCTAGGCTCTGGGGACACAGAAAGGAACAATATAGGCAAAAGTCCGTCCCTGCCCTCATGAAGCTTGCACTTGTAGTGTGGCGGGGGGGTTGTTGGGAGGATAATAAATAAAATGAATAAAATAAATAAATCAGTCTATAAGATGTTAGTGTGTAGTTATATGTTACATAGCATGTTTTTTTAAAAAAATATTTATTTTAGGCTGCATTGGGTCTTCGTTGCTGTGTGCAGGCTTTCTCTAGTAGCGGCGAGCGGGGGCTATTCTTTGTTGAGGTGCGTGGGCTCTCTCATTGCAGTGGCTTCTTTTGTTGCGTAGCATGGGCTCGGGCTTCAGTAGTTGTGGCACGCCGGCTCAGTAGTTGTGGTTCATGGGCTCTAGAGTGCAGGCTCAGTAGTTGTGGCGCATGGGCTTAGTTGCTCCGCGGCATGTGTGATCTTCTCGGACCAGGGCTCGAACCCGTGTCCCTTGCATGGGCAGGCAGATTCTTAACCACTGCAGATTAAGTAATTTAGAGGGAGATTAGTAATTTAAGTAAATTAAATTAAATTAAGTAATTTAAGGGAGATTAGTAATTTAGAGAGACCTCGCTCTCTAGGAACCTAGTGAACTTTTGTATATGGCTTGGGCCAGGGTGGTTCCAGCCAGTTCCAGAGGACAAAAGTCAGGTGGCTTGCTCTGCAGATGGCCAGCTCTGTCGGGTTCCCAGTGTATGTGTGTCCAGGAGTGAGGAGAGGGTATAGGTAGGAGTGACCTGAACTTGGGTGCAGGCCCAAGCTGTCTGGGGCTCCTGGCTATGCTAATGGTGCTCTAGTTAAGAGCTGGAGAAAGTATGTAGCAGACAAATTGATGCAAGCTGTACCCTGCAGGCACCTAGCACTGGAGAAACCCTGCGCCAAGCAGTGGGAAAAAAGCATGTTCTCCAGGAACCCAGGAAGTGAGCCAACCTCGAACCAGGAAGGGAAGGTCCATTCTCCTCCAGTGTTCCTCTAGTACACTCTGCTGAAAAGGCTTAAAGTATGTCAGCTGGCAAGGAAGAAATATTTACGAGGTCTGGCTCCATTATCACAGAGCTGGCAAAAAGAGTGGTTTTAGAGCAGAGAGGCAATAAGTTGATAAGTGACACTGATAGTGTAAAATCACATGGCTTGGTCCAAGCTGGACAGGTGGTGAGGTGGGGTTGGAGTATAGGGTTCACAGTGAGAGGAGACAAAGGCAAGGAGTCAGACTATAAAAGTTTGCATAATGGAGTTTGCCTAGTTCATGCCAGGCACTGTACTGGTAACTTTATAGGTGTTTTCTTTGATCTCAATAACACTGGTAAGATATGATTAGTCCCATTTTGCAGATAAGGAAACAGGCTCACAGAGGTAAACTAGCCAGCCAGGTCACACAGTCCAGCAGAGGAAGAGGAGAGACTTGAACTCAGGTCTGTAGGGCTCTGAAGCCTCTGCTCTTTATAACATTCCAGCTACAAAGAGGGCTAAGGAGTTTGGACCAGAGTGACTTAGTTCTGGGCAGATGGTGTACAGTTTCAGGCTCTGTTTTTCAATAAACTGGACATGACCTGAGTGGATGGGTGAAGGCAGTGTGCCTGATGAATTCATCCATCAATAATTCAGGCCACAGGATTTGCCCAGCTGGGCCTCATGGCTCCGAGCCTCTTCATCTGAGAGCATACAATTGGAAATCAGAGACACTCCTGCTTCATGCAAGGCTGAGCACTTGATTTAGTTTGGTCTGGGGCAGATCTGCATCTCCCTTTACACTCATGGGAGACTGTGAATATGACCCAGAGAACTGAGGGGTCGACTCAAGTTCAGAAAGCTCCCGTCAAGGCTTCTGGAGGGTTGGATTTCTGGCTTGGAGCCAGCCTGTCTTGGTATTCTCTGGAGACAGGGATAAGACAATCTTGTGCGTGGGGGGGTGGTGCCCCGAGGCTTCATCTGCCAAGCCTCCTGTATGGTGTTACTTTCCCAGAGGAGATCTGAGCTGAGGTCAATAATGGAGCCTGTTTAGAGCCTGGGATAGTTAAATTACCAAACACTTGTTCCAAAGAAAGATGCAGACTTACTCCCACCCCATTTCTCTTATTACTGTGTTCAGTCACTGTGAACGGATTTCAGTTATTCCAATTTTTTTCTCATATATGCGCACACACATATACACACACACTTACACACACTATTCCATGCTTAAATAGTTCTGAAAATAGTAAGCAAGGATCATTAGTGGATGCTAACCCTTGGGAGAAAGGTTTTTGAGGGACAGGATAGTCACACAATTTACCCCACAGATTACTAGTTATTTATAGAAGAAAAAACTTCCCTTTAAAGTGGAGTGACCTGGTGGACACTCTCTTAACCAAGCAATCAAATTTAGCATCACCGAATAGGATGGGACAAAATGACTAGACGTGATGCAATGCGGGGGACACATCACCTGCGTAGTCTTCTTGCCAAACATGTTTAACCTGCATCTACTCATGAGGAAACATAAGGAAAAATAAGAAAAAGCCAGACTGTAGCATATTCAGAACAACTAGCCTGAACTCTTCAAAAATGTTGGTGCCATGAAAGAGAAAAAAACCAAAAAATCCATGTTGTAGATGAAAGGAGAATGAAGGGAGGGGAAAAGCAAATGTAACCTATCATCCTTGATTGGATCCTGGATCACAACATTTTTAAAAAGGCTATAAAGAAAATTTTCGGACACGTGGGGAAATTTGAATGTGGATTGTTTGGGAGTGATAATGGTATTGTGGTTCTGCAGGACCTTGCTAATCAGGGCGTGATCCCCAGACTAGTAGTAGCAGCTGGGAGCCTATCAGAAATGCAGAATCTCAGGCCCCACCCACACCTACTGGATGTCCCGGTGATCTAAGTGCACATTTAGTTTGACAAATGCTGGTGTAGGAGATCCACTGTATTTGTAGGAGGTATAGTCCTGCCTCAGGAGCCCAGGTGATCCTGTGTTCTTGATTCTTGGGAGAGAATGGGCAGGGAAGCAGTAAAACTGTGTAAATGTTTACTGTTAAATTACCTACTGAGGCTACAGGACCTTTAAATATATGTGCTCAATAAATATTTATATGTGGAGGAATGAGTTTATTGTTCCCTCCACCTAACCGTGTTTATCTTTCCTCACAACACTGGTTAACCCCTACTCATTCCTCAAAGCTTGAGTCAAATGTGATTTCCTCAGGGAACTTCAGGGAACTCCTGTATTTCTAGCAGTGTGGAGCCAGCAGTAAGCGCCACAGGGGTTTTACTAAGATAGAAGAAACAGGGTGAAACACTCTCTGTGCCCCTATACCTCCTTACAGTAAGACTGGAATTCTCATTTGGGAAGATTTTTTTGGAGGCTAAAACTGCTCACGTGGCTTGTGTTTTCAGTTCCATCATCCTAGAGAAATTCTCACACAGGTCTATTAGGGAACATGTCTGAGGATTTTCCTGCAGTTTTTTTTTTTTTTCCTGGTGGTAGCAGGAAGTTAGAGTGAACCTAGGTGTGTGTCCCTGAGGAACAAATGGACAATGTGTGCTGGGTGTATACCATGGGATACTGGGCAACAATGAGAAGCAACGAGCCAAGTGCCTGCTCGGTCAGTGCAGTCAGGACAGTCATGGCTTCTGCCCTTTTCCCTGGACGACTTTTTTTTCAATATTTTTTATTTTTATTTTTTTCAATATTTTCAATATTTTTTTCAATATTTAAAATTTTTATTTTCAATATTTTCATTGATTTACAGTGTCGTGTTAGTTTCTGCTGTACAGCAAAGTGATTCAATTATACATATATATACATTCTTCTTTTTTAATATTCTTTTCCATTATGGTTCATCATAAGATTGCCCTGGCTGATTATTAATAGAACCCCTTGCATTCTCAAATGTGTACCAGTTTGGATGATAATGCACGGTCACTCTCATAGGTCAGGGAGCCAGAGATGAGGATTCTTGTTTAATTGCCTTTGGTGGGGAGTGTCCTTAGGAGGAAGGGAAGAAGGAAGGAAGGCAGGAGATAAAAGGCCAAGTGAGGGGCTTCCCTGGTGGCGCAGTGCTTGAGAGTCTACCTGCCGATGCAGGGGATGCGGGTTCGTGCCCCGGTTCCGGGAGGATCCCACGTGCTGCGGAGCGGCTGGGCCCGTGAGCCATGGCCACTGAGCCTGCGCGTCCGGAGCCTGTGCTCCGCAACGGGCAAAAAAAAAGGCCAAGTGAGGATGGGGGTCTCTGCCGGGGACTCGCTCCAGCATGACCTCATGGGGACCTCTGTGGCACAAAGTGTGCCACAGACTTGTTCCCGCCTTGAGGCCTCTTGTAATCCTGTATCTGTCAGTCACTGGCCAAGTCTAGGGGTCAGGGAGGGAGGCGGGGAGTCTCCCTGGCCATTTGGCTTCTGTTTGACCAAGGGCAATTCTCCAGAGAAGGTGGCAGCTGTGAGTGTTTTTTAACCAATACTCACAACAGCTGGTGGTCAGGCCACTATGTCTGGTAAAGGGGATCTGGGTGGGGCAGCAACTGCATCCCTCATAATCCCCCTACCTTCATCAACATGTGTAGATCTTTAAAACATAGACCTGAGCATTAAGAAAAATGTGTGATATGATTTATGTAGATTAAAAGCACATATCAGGAAAAAAAATAAAATAAAAAAATAAAAGCACATATCAGGGATTTCCCTGGTGGCGCAGTGGTTAAGAGTTTGCCTGCCAG